CAGAGCCAGGATGCAAAGCCCGCACAAGGGCCTACAGTGTCCAGAGTGAACAACACACTTATTTTTCCCCTCCCTCCCTCGGCTGGAAGAAGAGGAAGAGACCAGAATGAGAAGGGTGGGGGTGGGGAACGGGCTGAGCATTCCACAGCCTCAATGAAACAGCCACATTCCTCAAGGGGTTGCCCGCCCCTCAACTCCGAGGGTTGGAAAATGTCAACGGGGTTGGTGCACGTCTTCGGGGCCTCGCTTTTGTCGATTGTTATTTCCAAGAGCCTGTCGCTGGGCCCCAGAGGGTGTGATCGCAGCAGGATCGCTGGCCCCTGTCGTGCTCAGCACCTTGTCACAGGCCCAAACCTACTGCGGCTGACCCTTGACCAGAGAGCTGCTGCCTGCCTGCTGCCTGAGATACAGACCTGGCTCACACAGAGATGACCGTGGGCAACTGGCTTTGACAGTGAGGAATCCACGGAGGCAAGGATGGCAAGAAAGCTGAGTGCCCCTGGTCCCGGGTGACTGTGTGCAGAAGGGACCTGGGTGCAGACCCAGAGAGGAGGGAAATGGCACCCTGGGCGTGGGGACTCTGGTTCCTGGTCCTGAGTTTCTTTCATGCTGTTGCTTACCGTTCACCTAGCACAGCCGCTTTAGAGGGAAAGGAGGGTGTCTGCTCCCCCCACTACCTGCCTGGCGCCTCCGTTCCCCGACTGGCTGGGGACCACAGCTGCCGGGTCATGGCCGTGTCCCCAGCCTGTGTGTCTGATGGCATTCTGCTTCTCTCAGTCACCCAGGGGTGTCTTCTCTCACAGTCCCTCCATCTGCTGGAATGATCACCAGGGCCCATGGCTCTCCCTGTCCTATCTCGAGCCCGGCCCCTCCGCCACCTCCCCTGCCTTGGCGACTGTGGTGGAACGGGACCCAGACGCCGTGATCCAGACAGACCTTCGGCAGGTGGCAGGCAGCACGTGCCTTGGCTGGTGCATACGTGCACGTGAGCCCCAGTGCCGCTCCGAACTGCGGGTGTGTCCGAGCTAGGCCACAGGTCAGCCTCGGGAGCCCGTTGCCACCATGTGCACTCGCAGTGGTTGCTGGAATGGGAGGTGGTGGGGGTGCAGGGTCGTACACGGGCTCGCCGTGTCCAGCTGCCCTGGGGCAGTCATCTCGCTGGCCTCCCTGCCTCGGCTCCTGGTCCCTGGTCCCCTTCCACTGTCCTCCCTATTTGCAGAGCTAGCCTGTCCCTAGCCCTCCTGAAGGACAGTGTTCCCCGGCCTTCCCTACTGCATTGCCCAGAGGCCCTGCAGCTTTCCATACTGACTCGCTAGCCAAACAGATCCAGCCCCTGTGACCTGTATTTGTGGCCTCAGGGACCACCTTCTCCCCTTGGAGGCCCGCCCCCCGCCTTGCCCATGCTCCTTGGGCCCCTGAGACACAGCGCTCTGTGTGGTTTCTCAAACACTCTTCTGAGCATCTCATCCTCTCTTCCTGAAGTGCCTCTGCCTCTGGCTGGTGAGCTCCTCCTCATGCCTCCAGGGCCAGCGTCTAAACTCCTGTCCCCGATAACCCCGAAGTGTGTCTCTCCTCCCTTGGTACATTCCCGATCCTTGGGACATCCCTGAGTCGCTTCAGTTCTCTCCCTGCATGTTTACTGCCCTCTTTCCAGACAGGGGGCCCCTGAAAGGGCTGGGTACCCCATCTGGGTCACATCTGTCTCCCCAGGGCACAGCTCTCTCCCCTTTGCCTTAGTACACATTTGCTGATGTGAAGATAAACAAAGGCTGTTTTCCAGGAATCGCGCAGCTTTGGGGAATAGTTGAGGATGTGGAAGAGAAGAGACACTTTCCGTTTGGGTGCCTTTTTATTCCGCGCCCCCCCCCCCTCCCCCGCACAAGCAACAGCTGAACAGCTTCAAAAAGTTCAGGGGGTCAGGAAAAATGCAGCTGAGACCCCAACGGCCTTGCCAGGCCCTTTCACTTTTTCTTCTCCACTGTAGTTGAGTTCAAGGCTCAGGGTCAGCGTCCTCTCATTCATCCTTTGTTTGCCCTGGTTTGACTTCTTTAAGCTCAACAGGAAACTCATGAATAGCTGTGCAAAACCAAACCAAAAAATAACCCAAGGCCTGACCCTACCGCCGCCTCTTCCCAGAAGCCTTCCAGGCAGAAGGCTGTGTACTTGTCTGATCTCCTATCACATTTGAAGCTGGTGTCTCCCACTTGACTCTCGACTTTTTGGTGGTGTGCCTTGCTCCACCGGTGCAGGTCTTGTCCTGCTAATGAGCTTGTAAAAGGCTGGACCACGCTCTCCTGGCTCTGCTTTTTAATTTTCCAGTAAGTTTAGGCTGAGGCCCAGCCCAGTGCCGGGCACACTGTGGGGTCTCGCCTGATTTTACTCATTAGTGGACTCTGGAAGCTCTGCTGGTACCTTTTCTGCCGTGGGCCTTGCGGGCCTTCTCTGGACTGCTAGGTTCACATCTGCAAAATGGAGTGATGCTCACCTCCTAGAGTTGTCAACTAGCAGGTATCTATAAGCTCATTCATTCATTCATTCATTCATTCCACACGTACGACAGTGTGAGATGGCAAAGATGCAAGACAGATGTGGTCCCAGCTCCACTGAGCTAACAGACCAGGCTAGGGTGGGGGAGAAAAATACAACTCAAAAATGAGCAAAATAAATAAAACTCCTATTTTATTCATTGCTAATTTTCCTCATTTTAAACTTTTATATAAAATCGTTTATGTTCATATTGTTAGTAAGTTGTGATTGGGGCTATGAAGGTAAGAGGAAGCTGCTAAGTTAAAAAATAAAAATTAAAAATGAAAGACAACAAGAAATATCTACTTTGGACAGGGTGGTCAGGGAGGGCTTCTTTGAAGAGGTGGCTCTCTTCCCCTCCTCTCCCTTAGGAGGCACATCCAGTAGGAAATGCTACATTGCAAGATTCTGGTGTGGTTGTTTTTTTTTTCTGAAGGGGAGCTTAGAGATGACTGCTGGCAGCGGGGAAAAATAAATACATAATGATGCCAAGGGGTGAGAAGGAAAATCAGGATGCAATGATGACAACACTCCGTGTGGCTGGTGTAGCACTTCCCAAGCACAGTGGTGAAAAGCTTCGCAGACCTGTCACTCACAACCCCCTTGTGAGATGGGCAGGCCCCCGTGGTGGTCTCAGAGCTTGGTGTGGTCGTGGGACTGCTCAGCGTTCCCACAGCAGGTGATGGAGGGCCAATTTGGACTTAGAGTTGCTGTCATGGGGAGGAGGGTCCCTGTGGCTGTGGTGCCTGGCACTGGGTTGAGACCTGTGGTTCTCAGTTGGCTGCAACCTTGCAATGATGTGCGGAGGCTTAAGAACTGTTGGCTCCTGGGCTCCACTCCCAGAGATTCTACTCATCCATCTAGGGTGGGTTTGGGCACCTGGATTTTTAAAAAAATGTATTTTGATTGATTTCAGAGAGGGAGAGAGAAAGAAAAAAACCCATCAAAGAGAATCATTGATCGGCTGCCTTCTGCACGCCCCACACTGGGGATCGAGCCTACAACCTGGGCATGTGCCCTGACCAGGAATTGAACCATGACTTCCTGGTTCATAGGATGACGCTCAACCACTGAGCAACACCGGCCGGGGGACATCGTATTTGTAAAAGCCCTCCAGGCCATCCCAGTGGTTGGAAAGCACTGTTTAGGCCCTCAAGGAGCCGGCTTCCACTAATGAGCATGTTCTTGAGAGCCAGGGAGGCAGGGAGAGCCAGGATGATGAACCTGTCAGCAAATGCAGTGCCTGTTCTTTTTTTTAAAATATATTTTTTATTGATTTCAGAGAGGGAGACGGAGGGAGGGAGAGAGAAGCATCAGTGATGAATGAGAATCATTGATGGGCTGCCTCCTGCACGCTCCCTACTGGGGATCGAGCCCACACCCAGCCTGTGCCCTGACTGGGAATTGAACCATGACCTTGTGGTTCATAGGTCGAAGCTCAACCACTGAGCATACCGGACCGGCCGCCCTGTTCTTAGTGGAGATTTAGGTTGCTGATAATGAACGTCAACAACAACACTGGTGAACGCCCTGCTCCTAGACCAGTGATGGCGAACCTTTTGAGCTGGGCGTGTCAGCATTTTGAAAAACCCTAACTTAACTCTGGTGCCGTGTCACATATAGAAATTTTTTGATATTTGCAACCATAGTAAAACAAAGATTTATATTTTTGATATTTATTTTATATATTTAAATGCCATTTAACAAAGAAAACTCAACCAAAAAAATGAGTTCGCGTGTCAGAGGTGTCATAGGTTCGCCATCACTGTCCTAGACTGTTGCCCTCTGTACTAGCATTTCTGCAAGGTGCTTCCAGCTGGGAAATGATGAGTGCTTCGATGGCGGTGGCCCTTGAGGGAGATGTACTGATAACTGGATCCATGGGACCAGGACCCTCCTGGAGGGGGATGCTGGACGTGGTGACAACTGAGGTGGCCCGATCACTGAAGAAACTCAGGACAAGGGTTTATTTGCTACGCGTGGCTTTTGATGGGCCATCCATATTTCTGCAGGGACAGAGGGATCACTGTGTCATCTCCTTGGAGTGATTCTGTGTTTCCCCATCCTGGGGGAAAGAATGAACAACTGGTCAACCATAGCACTTCTTCTGACGGTTACGGGTTTGATCTGTGTTCAAATTCTCTAGATGCTGAGCTATTTTAATTGGCCTTTATCTAGGAAGGAAATTCTGTTTCCAAATTCTCATGGTCTTATGGGCTTACTTGGACCCTCTCGGCCACTGTCACTCCAGCAAATGGTAGACCTGCATCGTTGGCTGAGAGCCTGTTTTCCTCTCCCCAAGACCCTGGCACTGGGCATCCCACATGCTGCCAGGCCTTACCCCAAACCCCTCCCCTTAGGACCAGAGAGTTCATGGTGAGATGCTGCAGGGCCCAGGGGTGGGTGGGGTCTGTGTGTGTCAGAGCTAGGCCTTTAAGAAGGCAGCCACTGTAAAGGCTTCTTCTGTTCTCTAGCCCTGGAGCAGCTGCTGACGGAGCTGGAGGACTTCCTCAAGATCCTGGACCAGGAGAGCCTGAGCAGCACAGCCGTGGAGAGGAAGAGTGGTCTGGCCGAGCTCCTCCGCCTGTACATCAAAAGCAGCAGTAAGTGAGGCCCAGGGCCTGGGAGAGGTCCCGGTGGGAATGGACAGATGATGGTTGTATTGACGAGGGCTACCATAATGAAGTTTCACAGACTGGGTGGCTTAAGCAGCAGACATATGTTTCCTTACAGTCCTGGAGGCCAAACCCCTGAGATCGACGTGTCTCCAGATTTGGTTCCTTGGGAGGCCTCTCTCCTTGGCTTGGAGATGGCTGCCTACTCCCTGGGTCTCTATACCGTGTTCCCTCTGTGCTTGTCTGTGTCCAAATCTCCCTTCTTACAAGGTCAGCCCACGCCAGTGGCCTCATTTAACGTTAATCACCTCTTTCAAGACCCCTTCTCCACGGTCAGCCCTCCTCTGAGCTCCTGAAGGCTAGGATTTAACATATGCATTTGGAGGAAACACAGTCCAGCCCATAACAACAGTGGAGGAGGGATGTGACTTGAATGGGAGCCCAGAAATCTCCAACCACTCAACACATCAGCCACGAGTGAGGTTTTCAACAGAGTGTTTTCAAAGCACTTTTCCTTACTGGTTGAAAGTAGAGCAGGGATAATAAAGTCTTGTAATAATAGCTGAGGCTTCATTGAGGGCTTCCCTCTTGCACACGTATTAACTTGTTTCATCTTCAAGACAGTCCTCTGAGGTTGGCTGTGATGACAGAGGCGGAAACTGAGGCCAGGAGAGTTTGAATAACTTGCCACTGTGTCATACAGCCCGAGAGAAAATGGGAAAACACAGTTTTAAGAATTTGCAAATCACAGAATGCTGAGTTCATAGTTTCTTCCTTTTTTACTGAGGTCCGTGTTAACACACAACCAAGTACACAGTTCATAAGTATGCAATTGGTTGGGTTTTGACAGTTGTCTACTACCTGTGTCCCGACCACCCAAAACAAGGCACAGAATATTCCTATCATCCCAGAAAGTTCTTTCTTGCCCCTTCCCAGGGAACCCCCCCCTCCCCCACACCATGGCAACCACGGTCCGGATTTCTCCCACCATAGGTCAGCGTTGCCCGCCCTTGAGCTTCACGTGAATGGCATGGTTCAGTGTGCACATCATGTCTGGCCTCTTTCGCTCAGGAGATTCATCCACGCGCTGGGGCGTGGCAGCCGTTTCTCCCTTTCGTGGCTGAGGGGTGTTTCCTTCTGCGCCGATGCCACCATCTGCTGCTCCAGTCACTCGGTGGTGGACATTCCGGTTGCACACATTGGGACCATCGTGAATAAGGCCGCTCTGAACGTTCTTGGACGCGTCTTCTTATGGACACATGGTTTCGTTTCTAGCACATTCCGATTGTCTTTTTTTTTTTTTTTAAATAGAAAAGCCTTTGTGTGAAGTCATAACAGTTGAGCTGAGTTTATTTTTATCTCGGGCGCTTGAGGATCGGAAGTGATGTTCGCGGACAGAGAGGGGCCATCAGAGGGCGCGTCCTCCATCTGCCTCGCGGCAGGAGCAGCCTTCATCCGTGCCAGGCCGGGGGCGTGCACCTGCTCAGAGTCAGGAAGTTCTCCCTCGTCCACCCTGAACCTGCCAGGCCACACGCCACGGTCCCTTTCCCTCTTCTTTGTTCCCAGTGGAACTAGTTTCTGTTCTCTGAATTACAGAGACGTCGTAAAGCTGAACATGTTGCTACCTGCCCGGCAGCTTGCTCTCCCGGTGAAACAATCCTGGCTCCCTCCGCCTGTCATCAGAGGCGTTCTCCTTGAGCCGCTCGGTCTTTGGGCTCCAGGCCAGCCCCTGGTTCCCAGGCTCCTGGCTTTGTAGTGAGCGTCTGCCAGCCTGCCCGAGTGCTGGTCAGCCACACATCAAAGGTGGGAATGGCAGATGGGAAAGCCACATCACAGAGCAGGTGAGGTAGAGAGGCATGAATCACCTGCAAGAGGATTCATCAGCGGATCTTTTATTTATTTAATTTTGATTTTTTTTTTTTTTGTATTGATTTCAGAGAGGAAGGCAGAGGGAGAGATAGAAACATCAGTGATGAGAGAGAATCACTGATCGGCTGCCTCCTGCATGCCCCACACTGGGGATCGAGCCCACAACCTGGGCGTGTGCCCTGACCGGGAATCGAACTGTGACCTCCTGGTCCATAGGTCAATGCTCAATCACTGAGCCATGCCGGCTGGGCATCAGTGGATCTTTTATTATTATTATTACTAGAGGCCCGGTGCACAAAATTTGTGCACTGGGGGGCGGGGCATCCCTCAGCCCAGCCTGCACCCTCTCGCAGTGCGGGAGCCCTCAGGGGATGTCTGACTGCTGGCTTAGGCCCGCGCACGTCATAGCGACCAGTTGTTCCACCATTCGGTCAATTTGCATATTAGCCTTTTATTATATAGGATTTTTTATTGATTTCAGAGAGGAAGGGGGGGGGGAGAGAGAGAGAGAGAGAGAGAGAGAGAGAAAGAAACATCAATGATGAGAGAGAATCACCGATTGGCTGCCTCCTGCATGCTCCCTACTGGGAGCTGATGCTCCATCCACTAAGCTAACTGGCTAGGGCCATCAGCGGAACCTTGAAACAGCACACTTCCCAGCCCATCGCTGTGTGCTCTGACCTGAGAATGTGCAGGGATGTAGAATCTCTGGTGGGAACTGGAAAGCACCTCTGTGATGGGGTCTGAACCCTGGTGCTTCGCTCTGACCACTCTTGCAGAGCTCCGGGGGCGGGGGGGGGGGGTTCCCCTTGTTGGTGTAATGTGCTGTGGCCCTTGCAGTAGGGTGGCCTTGGTTTCACACTTGATCTTTGTGTGTTCCCACCTGGTCTCTGCAGCTCACAGGCCTGCAGGAGGCTGCTGAGATCCCACAGCCTCCCAGTGCAATGCACCCCAGAGCGCCACCCCGGCTGCTAATAATACAGGTGCACAGCCACACCAAGGCCTGTGGTAGCCCCTTCTAGTCTTAAGGTTGTGACAGTCACTACTAATAGCCCCTGAAAACTTCCCTCTGGTCCCATTGGCGCATCCTCTTGACCACAGAGTGGTTATAACATTTTTTGTGCATTGACCGGGTTCCAGCACTGTGCTCAGCCTATACAATGTCATGGTCTCTATCATCCAGTTCCTTTCCCAAGTCAGCGAGGGAGTTGTTGTTGTCCCCATCTTACCAACAAGGGACCCGAGGCTTGGGACATCAATTGCGTGAGGCCCGTGGCCGTGGTGCCCGGGCAGGCCTGGGCAGGTGCGCCTACCACTGTGCTTTCCTCCAGCCCCACGGTGCCAGATTAACCTGGACCGCACGGGACAGAATCCAAAGCCCCCCCGAAACTGCAGCACCCGTCTTGCTCTCAGCCTCACCGTGCATCCTCCAGAAAATGAGCTCAGCCTGACGGAGCGTGGAGGTAGAGGCGGCTGATGGCTGAGACAGCTGGCTGAGCTGTTGTTTCTCGTGGGTTTGACACTTTTCGGATGGAATTTTCCATCTTTTGCTTTCTTTCTGCAACACAAATTCTCTACTAACTTTGCTTTTTGTCTGCATGGCGAGGTCTATATATTGGGGCCTGCTGTTTGTTCCTGCCTTTACCAGTGAGGGCCCAGCCCCGCCCCCCCCGAGAATCCCGCTCAGGGACTGTAGGGAAGTTTCAGGGTTGCCCCTCTGCTGGAAAGAGCTTCAGATGTTCTGTCTATCCAACTGCAGCAAAGAGGGTCCGTGTCTCTCCTCCCCACCCTTCACCCCGTTCCCGGGGAAGGACCACCCTCTATAGGCAGGCTCCCTCCCCCAGGAAGCACACATGGGCTCAGGGCAGGAGGGCGCTCCTTCCAAACACCCCGTCGGCTCTTGTTATTTCCATACGCCCGTTAACTCCTCCATTTGGGTCTACGCCCTCCGCCCCACAGACTTTGGGTCCCCAAAGGCAGAGACAGTGTCCCCGCACCTAGATTAGCGCTGGTGTTGGGTGCACATCTGGGAATGAAGGAGAGAGTCCTCCCTCCCTGGGCAGCTGCTCCCTGGCCACAGGACAGCTCAGCAGCCTCCCCTGGGAGGGCCCCGTTTACTGGGCTCTTCCCAGGATTGCAGGCGGTCCCGGGAGCCTCCTCCTTGCCAACCTGGATGGCCCTGGATTAGCAACCCTCTGAGAATAAGGACCTACTGGACCACGGCCTGCAGGGTGCCTGAGGTGGGAGACACACAGACCTTGGGGGCGCGGGGGAGGGAGGCAGGGCGGGCTATGCAAGTTTTCTCTGGAGCTTATGAGTCTCCCTCTCAGAGGAAGCACCTGCTCAGAATGCCAACAGTTAAAACAATAAAGGTATTTTGCCTTTTATTTCTTCGTGTGGCAGTGTGGGCGTAGTCAACAAGATGAAAAAAAAAGAGAAAGAAATGCAAAATGAACATTAGGCATGATTTATGTTCCTTAGATTCCTTTGGTGATCTTTATCAGGGTCCCCTGGATATCCTGTGGTTGGGGCCTGCCTCTGTATTTGGCTTTGCAGTGTTTTTACGTTTATAATCGCTGTCAGCGCGCATTTCTACGTGCTGACAGTTCACATGGCTTTTCCCTTCTGAAATGTGACCCTTTAACTGTACATCTTGGCTGTCCTAGACCTACTTCATTTTTCACTGTTGGGTAGCATCATGGATGAACAGTATTGTTCAAATGGTCTCCTATTAGTGAGCATTTAAGTTTTTGTTTTTTTAAGAAACCTCATACAGTCTTGCAGTGAACATCCTCAAGTAAGATTATGTTTACATGCTGGAGTTTGTCTCCAGGAGAAATTTCTGGCGTTGGACATGCTGGGTCAAAGAATAGGAACACGTACAATTAAATTATCCTCCAAAATCACTTCCCAGTAGTTGTGCCAATTCCCACACTATTCAGTCATTCGTTTATGGTCACAGGCAACATGCTGTTGTGTATGTTGATGTGCCATGGTTCGTTTGTTTCACCATTTTCCCACTATTGAGACTGTGAGTTAGTGCCCATATCTTGGGCTGGCATTTTTTTAAAAAAATATGTATTTTTTAAATTTATTTCAGAGAGGAAGTGAGAGGGAGAGAGAGATAGGAACATCAGTGGTGAGAGAGAATCATTGGTCGGCTGCCTCCTACACGCCCCACACTGGAGATCAAGCCCACAACGTGGGCATGTGCCCTGACCAGGAACCGAACCATGACCTCCTGGTTCATAGGTTAACACTCAACCACTGAGTCACACCAGCCGGTCGAGGCTGCCATTTTTAATCTTCATCAGTTATAAGATTACCTTCCTTTTTCAAATTTCCTAATATTTGAGTTTTGTTCTCTTGAACTTCACAGTTAAATAGAAACAGGCAATATTTCATCAAGATTGTTTTCCATACGAAGCGGATAAGAAAACCAAGGCCACACTGGTTAGGTGTTTTGTACAGAATTACACTATTCATGGAAAAGCATCTCCAGTCTCCCCCCTGCAGAGCCCTTTCCCCCTGCACATGCTCTGCAGAAGATACTGACCCAGCCCCTCTGGACCTCGGTAGGTGGAGACAGGCCGGTTGTAGCTCACTGTGTTGGGACCTCATAGTTTCCTCCATGAGCTCCTGCAGCCCTTGGGACAGGGGTGGTGTGGCTGACCGGTCCTGGCAGGGCTGTGCACCGAGCTGGCCATCCACGGACCGATGGTGGAGGACGCATCAGTTGCATCCTCCTCCTGCTCCTCTGAGTTCTCAGGACTGTTTTCCCGGGCCTGTTGGCTGGAGTCTACGCGGTCTGTGGCGAGGAACTGACTGGCACGGAACTGCCTCCTTTGCCAGGGGTTTGAATTGGGTTCTTTGGCTCAGTAACAGGGTCTCCAACCACTGGAATTTATCAGCCACAGTCTCTAGGAAATGCAAATTAAGAGGCTCGAAAAAAATGCAGGAGGGTTTGTAAGAGGAGAAACACCAGGATGAGCTTCCTGTGCAGGCGCCTGGAGAAAGGGTCCTTGGGTGTTAGCAGCTGAGCAAGTGTTAGGAGACCAGCCTTTCTCTGCCCAGGCAGGCACTGGGGAAGTGGCAACCTGCACAGAAATGATTCGAAAGGAGGAGAAGGGATATGCTGCTGCAAGGTACAATCTGCAGGGTAGAGCAGGTGGCTGGAAGTGCTCCATTGCCAGTTCCCTGCACATGTACCCCTCTAAACCCAGAGCGCATGCTTTGGATTTCTCAGGCCCCCCACATTGACACCCCACCTAGAGGCCTGGGAGCTAAACTTTCAGATCCTCAATGTGACCTATCTTCTACATAGACATTGTTCTGGTCAGCCCAGGCAAGTAATTCAGACTAGAGTGAGAATGACTGATAGGAACCATTCTACAGTGTAAATGAAATGCTAGGAAACCCAGAGCAATCTCTGGTGAGTGGAATATGAGGTGTAAATCTTTGAGATGTGGGTGCCTTTCCCCTTAAGACATCTGTACCCTAACTGTAAACTAATAGTCGGCAACTTGGCATTTCTTTGTTTATGTTGGACTCTTTTGGTCAACTCAAAATATTGTGAGTCTTTCCTGGAACCAAGCAGATGACAGTGTCTCTAGGGGACACCGTTTCTCTCTGGGAGCCCTTTCCCTTCACGGAATCACATGAACTTCCATCCTCTCCCTGCAGGTTCTGATGAGGAGTACATTTACATGAACAAAGTGACGGTCAACAAGCCACAGAATGCCGAGTCCCAAGACAAAGGTACGAGGCTGGGGCTGCCGATGGCCTGGCCAGCTCCCAGCAGAGGGGAAGGTGTGAACCTTGGTCACGTTCCAGCTCTCCGTCCTCCCAGCCAGCACCACAGACAGGCCCGGAGATATTTTTGAGAGTCACATTTTGGTGAATGGTATTTTGGGTTGATGTATTTTGGGAAGTTTCATCGGGCCACCTCCTTGCCTCTTAAAGGTCTCGCGTCCCCCCTCGTGGTTAAGGAATCTGTTCCTAAAACCTCTCAGCTTTCCCAGCATTGTCCCAGGAATAGGAAGTTATAATTCAGATGCTTTCAGAAGGCAGCTGTGGAGGGTGCTGATCCCATGGTTCCGGCTTTCTGTCCTTTGATAGAAGTCTGGATGTTATGTGTGTGTCGGGGTGGGGGCAGGGCAGGGGGGAGGAAATGGTGATGTCAGCAACTGCCTTAATAGTAAAGGCTTTTTCACAGGCGTTCTCTTGAGCAGGATGTTTTATCTTCCGGGCTGTCTGAGTCTCTGCTCAGGTCTGCTCCCCACTTCTCTTTGAAAACCTCAGGAGTAGAGCTGGCAGACCCCAGGGAGATCGGAGGTTTGCAGGCTGCCTAGTTGTAGACGAGAGAGGGTTAGAAGCCCATCTCCCAACTCCTGTTACCCAAAGGCAGAGGCTTAGAGAGAGGCAGAAACACAGCACCCCAAAGCCCTTCGTCCTATTCAGATCTTAGCTCCTAAACATCAGCCACCGAAAAGCCTCGACGTCAGACCTGCCCGCACCCGTCTGTCCCAGGGCTGCCTGGGCCGCCGACCGAAATGGTCAGACACCATTGGGTGTTCATGAGCCTTGGGTGCCTTTCCCTTAAAAGCACATGGCGGGTGGGGGGGTGGGGGGTTGGTGGTCAAGTTCTTCAGTGTGGCTTTTCCACCTCCTGCCCATGGCCAGGCCCGGGCTCAGCAGCACGCACCGGCATGGAAGCAGCCACTCTCCCGGGGCCGCTGGCCTTCCCACTAAACTGTGGGAAGGAAAGAGCTGTAATCACAGGGTCGGAGCCCAGCGTGGCTTAATATAGCGACCACAGGGCAGCTCCCCGGGGCGCTGGGGCTCTGCGGCCAGGCCGTTTTTGACACGGGGCAGGTGGAGGCGAGGGTGCGGAGCCTGCCAGACCCCAAACCAGCTCCTCCTGAGGAATCTGTGGCGGGGGCACCGCTGCGCCCTATTCTTGGAGGGGAAACAACCTTGGCTGCAGCCCCGGCTGCCTGGGTAATGAACACCTGCTCAAACGGCACTCAGGGGGCATGTGAGCAGGCATTCCTGGGTAATGAGGGCCTGCTGCGAGGCTGGAGGCTGGCACCCCTCACCGGAGCTTCTGCTTGCTGCCCACAGCGCCGGAGGAGCGGAGCCCACTGGCCAACGGGGAGCCCCGCCAGCACGCCACGGCCCCTCAGAAGAGTCTCCCGGACCTCCCGCCCCCCAAGACCGTAAGTGTGGGCCCAAGACCCCTGATTTCCCTGCCTTGGGCCCCGTGAACTTGCAGTTGTTTTCACAGGTATCCATCCGTCCAATGTCTGGCCTTTTCTGCGTATCTACTGTGTGTCGGGCACTGGGAGAGACAGGGCCAAAGTAAGCCTGTCCGCAGGTGACGTCATTTGCTCAGGACCACAGTGCTGGGATGCTAAGGGTAGTGGAAGGGGGAGATGAGGGAGAGCCCCTCTAGCAAGCGCCACAGTGTGTCTGAGCCCACGACAGGCGCTTTACCCAGCACTATGTGGGGCCATGTCCCGCTGTGGCTACCAACTCAGGCCACGTGACCTTTCAGAATTGTACGTCGCGTCACACTGCGCCTCCTGCTTGGAATCAGCCAGTAGCTCTCACTGAACTTAGGAAAAACACCCACGCTTCCTAGCACGGCCCCACGGCCTGCCCATTGGGGCCCACCTGCATCCCCGGCCTCTGTGCATGCGCCCTGCACGGGGACTGTGCCACGCGGTCGGTCCTGCCTCGGGGACGTTGCACCTCCTGGGACTGGCTCTTCAGTGGCTGCTGCCTCATCTCTTAGACATTCTCAGATCGACTTTCCCTGGCCTGCTGACGTCGGGCATCCCGCCCCAGTTACTGTCCGTCCCACTGTCCTGTTACCACCTCCACGGCACTGCCACCTTTGAAATGTGCCTCTCAGGCTAGATACAAGCTCCCTGGGACAGGGACTGTGTCTTGTTCAGTGTTTAATGCCCTGTGTCTGCATACAGTGAGCCACACACACATGGATGGATGGATGGATGGATGGATGGATGGATGGAGGATGGATTTATGGAATCATAGGCCTGGGTTCAGGTCCCAGCTCAGCCAGGTACTAGCGCTCTGACCTTGAGCAAGTTATAAGGTCTCTGGCTCTTGTTTCCTGGTGTTTAAATGACCGGAATGTGGACACCCTCTCCATGAGGTTGCCTTACTCAGTGGGCTAAGGTGTGCGTGGCATCCTGCGTCGGTATCTGGTGAGGTAAGAAGTAGTGTCGATACTTTACGGGTGAGGAGCGTGGAGTCAGCAGGTTTATATGGCCTGGGTGTCACAAAGCCTCCAAGCGGCAGAGCCAGAACTTGAAAGAACCCGAGTTCTTTCCTGGACAGGGTCTGGCTGGGGAGGCTTCCCGAGAGGGACGAGGTGAGAAGGACGTCCGTGGAGCAGGGGTTCCGGGAGATCAGCACCAGCAGGAAGCGGTGCGGCTCCATGACATGGAGCTCCCTCCAGACCATCCGTCACTGAGGTCACCGCTGCGGGGATCTCGACCCCAGGCCCCTGCATTCATGCCTTCCGAGGTGGCAGGCTTCTGCGGGCTCCTCGCCTGTGGCCACACTGGTGGGGCCGGAGGGCCTGGCACCATCTCCCACCGCCCGAGGCTCCTTGAGTTGGGTGACAGCTGGCGAGGCTCTGCATCTCAGAATCTGAATCCCTGGATGTCCCCGTTGCACTGGCGACTCTGGTGGCCGCCACACCCTCGTGTACACAGCAGGGTCCTCCTCGCCTCCCGCCTGTCTGTCTTTGCCAGCTCTTCCTCTGGACAAACAGAGGCTCAGGGAGTTCAAACAACTGGGCACGATCGCTCCACCGGGAGGTAGCAGGGCCAGGAATCGAATGCAGAGCCTTGGTGTCAGCCACTCTGCGGCCTCCTGGAATTAAGCCGGTCGTTTTAGCGGAGCAAAGGCACTAGGTCTGTTCCATCGGAGAGCTCCCCTTCGCTTCCTGCCCAGTACGGGGGAGACGGCACGTCCGCTCTGCTGCCATCCAGCTGCTGCCGGCCTAGCCCCGCGGGCGATGCTGTGGTTTCTGGTGTGTCCCACGTCCCACTTGCTGGTGGTGGGGGAGGACGGCGGGCTGCTCCGAGCCAGGGCAGGGATGTTCTGTCCGGAATTCAGCACCTCATTCTGCCTCCGCAGACCCCACCTGGGGCGGCTGCTTGTGGGTCACCTGGGAGGGGGGGGTTGGCGGGTCACCAGGCGGAGTCCCACAGGCAGGGGTGCTGGGTGGGGCGGACCTGCTCTGGGTCGCTGTGCTTTGCAAACGTGGTGAGGGCAGAGGGGCTGGGGCCCAGGCTGCAGTTATAAACCAGTGGGACCCTGCAAGTCCCAGCGGCCCAGAGGCTCTGGCACCGGCTTTTGCTCTTCGACCCGTCTCCTGGGGTGTGAGAAGCAGGGCCCGAGAGCCAGGCAGGGCCGCAGGGGCCAGGGGAGGCTCTGTCAGTGCTGGAGAGAAACGTGGCTTCGGACGTGGGGAAATATCACCACCCAAGAATAACACAGCCGGGGTGGCCCTCGGACGGTGGGAATGGTTCCAGTGGACACGCTCCAGGCCCCGGGGAGACTTCCAGCGGACAGCTGGCCTTACCGTCCTCCCTCCTCATGGAATTTCTCTGCTGAGAAGGACAAGGGGTGCTGACTGCAGCTCCCTTTCCTAGGTCCCCCCCACCCCTGGGAGCTTCTGGATGTGCGGTGAGAAAGGGAGGGGCCGGCGTAGTCGGGGTTCTTACCCCTCCCTGCACACACGCGCACGCACAGGCCTGCTCTCCCTCAGGCTGCCTCCCTGATCAAGTCTGGCTCAAGGAGCCATAACTCTTAGTCCAAGGCCCCCAGAGGAATGGCGTCAGGGCAGAGTGGGGAGCAGCTGTGGCTCTGAGGGAAGAGAAGGAGAAGGAGTGGGAGGAAGAGGGGAGTGGAGGAGGAAGGGCGAGGACCTGCGCAGCAGCAGCAGTTGGGGAGCATGAGCTTGGAGTGACCCTGTGACCTCTCTTCTTCAGAAAGAGAAAGCCTCGCCCTTCCCACCCTGACCCCGGAGCTTCGGGGTACTGTGGTGGCTTGCCGGCCCCAGGCTTGCGAGTGGCTGTTTTAGAAGCTGGAGTCTGCCTGGGCTTTGGGGTCCTCCGTGCCTGTGGCCTGGCCAGGAGGATAGCCTCTGTCCTGGGCTCAGGATGTCCTGATTCTCTCTCTGATGGCTGGGGTCACCTTCCATCCGCCACCCCCCCTCCCCCAGAGTCAGTGCACAGCAGGCCCGACCAGCAATGGAAGGGTCAGCCAGGGGCCTAGAGCAGCCTCGTGGGTGTGGCCAATGACTCAGGCCGCGGTGGCACTTCAGGCCACTGGCTGCACCGCCAGGGGCTGTGGTCACTGGGGGAGAAACAGATGTGCGCTGACACTGTTGGTGCCCTGGCCAGCAGGGCCACCTCCCCCCGCCCCCCCCCCCCCTGCCCCCAGGGGCCCCAACACGCATCACTGTTGGTTTTACAGTAAGTGAGCTGCTCTGGGTGGGCGGCCACTGCATTAAGGACATCACCACCGTCAGTCTGTAGAGCTGGGCCCGGCCAGATGCACCAGCCCCACCCAGGAGCCTCCCACAGGGCTCTCTGGGGCAGGTTGCTCAGAAGTGCAGGGCCTCCCCAGGCCATCGGGCCACCCCAGGCCACCAGCTTCAGCCCTGATCTCTATCAGAACCGGCCCAATCCGCAGCCACCTGCTTTTCCGTGAGGCGTTTTACTGGAGCGCAGCCACACTTGCTGAGCTTTGCCTCATCTGCGGGGCTCTTGCACTGCATCAGCTGGCTGGACGGGCTGAGATCAGAGACCCCGCAAACCCCGAAAGTGCTCTCCGTTTGGCCCTTTACCGAAAGTTTGCCGACCTCTGGCCAATCCTGTGGAGCCGGTGGCCTTCTCTCGTCTCTTCCTGCGATCCTGCAGGCAGGTTTTGAAGGCACATCTCTCTGCATCTTCACTTCATGTTCCTAATCTTCATGATGATGATGATGGTGATGATGATAAGAATAGTTCTCTATCCCTAACCTCGGACATTAGGATCTCTTGCTCCTTTGACCTCTGAAATGGGCCATCGTGTCAGTGTAACGAGGTGGCTCTCTCTCCCACTGGTGCACATTCCACCCCAATGCCACCTACGAACCTCGGGGTTGTCTTTGAGACGCAGCTCCCAGGTCCCGTCCTCTGGGCATCCTTCCTTGGTCCTGAATGCTCCTCACACCCTCCTGGTTCCCACCGAACTTTGGCCTCGTCTGTTACAGCACCGTTCACGATGCACTTGATCCGGAGCTGTGAACACTCACTATCTAGTTAAGGCTTTCTTGACCGCAGGAGTGTGTCCCGCGCAGCTGATATGCGGGAGCCATCCAGTATTTGCTGAATGAATGATTGAACGTGTTATGGTAAAAGTTTCTAAATCCTTAGGAACCTGGTCATTTTCCTTCATGAGCCTCTGATTTAGTCCTTGTCTTATTTTTTGTTTTTTAATATTTTTTTATTGATTTCAGAGAGAGGGGAGAGAGAGGGGAAGAGAGAGAGAGAGAGGGAGGGAGGGAGGGAGAAAGAGAGAGAGAGAGAGAGAGAGAGATCAATGATGAGAGAGAATCATGGACAGGCTGCTTCCTGCATGCCCCACCCTGGGGATGGAGCCTGCAACCCAGGCATGTGCCCTGACCGGGAATCGAACTGGTGACCTCCTGGTTCATAGGTCAACACTCAGCCACGAGCAACACCGGCTAGGCAGTTCTTGTCTTTTTAGAAGGTATATTCTGTTTAGCTACACACAGCCTGACACCTTCTGGACTTTGCGTGTTGGGTGTCCCATGTGTAAGGGTAGTTGGTGTGTGCGGTGGGGGTCTGAGCCTCACTCCGAGGAGGAGAAAGCTGGTCTCGGCGGGTTAAGCAGCGTGCCCAGAGCCCTCACTGGATGCAGTGCAAACAGTGGATGGGGTCCCGGTGGTCCGAGTCCTCCCTCCCAACTCGCTTGACGTCCAACCGAGCATTTTCTCTTCTGGGCTTCCCCCTCTGTCCACCCAAAGGCTTAATTCCACGTTGTTGCCCGTGTATCGTATCTGAAACATGTTTTATTTGTTCACACCACAGATTCCAGAACGGAAACAGCTCTCCATCCCAAAGATCGAGTCTCCAGAGGGTTACTATGAAGAGGCTGAGCCGTATGACATGTCCGTCAATGGTACATCCCGGGGCCAGGGCTGGGACGCGGGTGGGGGTGGGGGTAAACCGCTTCCCGCATAGATGGGTGCTGGCAGCAAGGACAGCCTGGGCTGCTCTTGCCAGAGGGCGTGGTTGAAGCTGAGAACTGGCTACAGAGCATTGAGCCTCTGCTCAGGTGGGGAGCTGAGACCTGCAGGCCCAGCCCCCGCCCCCGCCCCCCCCCCACCCTGGCCAGCCTGCAAGGAGGGGTCGGGTTGGTCCACAGCGAGCTGGAGCTGGTTCAGGGGCCCGATGCTTTGGGTGTTCCCACCTGGATGTGCCTGGATTCAGCACAGGAATGTGTCGGAAGAAAGGTGTGTTGTGAGTCAGGAAGTCACAGCCTTTAGGTTCTCAATCTCTTAGTGTAGGAATTCTTTTTTAAAAAAAAATATTTTTATTGATTTCAGAAAGAAAGGGAGAGGGAGAGACAGAAACATCAGTGATGAGAGAGGATCATTGATCAGCTGCCTCCTGCATGCCCACCACTGAGGATCGAGCCCGCAACCCAGGCATGTGCCCTGACCGGGAATCAAACCGTGCCCTCCTGGTTCATAAGTTGACACTCAACCACCGAGCCACGCCGGCCAGGCTATGTAGGAATTCTTTATCACCGGCCCCCCAGGTTCTGGAAGAAAGAGATGGTTGTGACCCCGGCAGCTGTCTCCTTCGTACCCCCTTCCCTTGTAAGCGAAAGGTCTTTGAAAGCATAAAGCAGTTTGCAGATGTAAGAGATGAGAGTGAACTGCAGGGGACGCTGCTGGTTCCACCGAGAAGGGCCCGGGGATGAGACGGGCAGGCCCTGGGAGCCAGGGGTCAGAGTCTGTTTTCACGCTCCCCTGCGGCCTCCGCCCAGGAACTGTGTGGGAGGCGAGGGCCTGTTTGGTCTGAGGTTCTTTTCCTCGGAGAGGCCGGCGTGGTGGGCAGATGCTCTGTAGCCTGAACCCTCTGCGCTTGTGAGACGTTTCGGAGCCACCGGCCGAGCTGTGATTTCAGACTGAAGCTGTGGGCGTGTAGCTCCCGTCTGGCTGCGTCTGGGAGGAGGAGGAAGAAGTGACTCACCGCGGTGGGCACCTCACCTCCGTGGTATCTTAAGCCTGGGGTGCTCTCCTGGGTGTGGCCAGTGCCGGCCGGGACCTGCCTCCCGGACGCTCCCAGGGGCCTGTCTGCGGGGCAGACACTACATCTCGACGCAAACAAGTGGTCAGAAGGGCTGAGTTTCTGGTGTCTGTCTCTGGGCTGTGAGTTCATGTTGGTTTTAGCCAAGATGGGGGAGGGGGGGAGGGGGTGGGTAGTCATCCCACGGGCAGCCGGAGGGTTGGGAAGAGGCCAGCTTGCCTTCCTCTCCTGCCAGGACAAAGGCCGAGGGTGACGTGGGCAGAACTGGCCACGCTTTCCCTGCAGAGGGGGCGCCACCTGTGACGTACCCGGCCTGCTCTCGTCACCTGTGTGCGTGGTGGCCACGCAGGTCACAGCAGGAGGGCTGGCCCGGGGCATCCGCCCTTTGCTCTAGTTCATTGGCCAACAGCAAGCGACGTCGCTGACTTCCTGCAAGACCGGTGTCTCGGTGTCTTGTCCTGCTGTCAGCACTGTCCCCACACTGCCCCGGGGTCAGGCTCCTCTCCCCCGGCAACACTTCCGTGAGTGCCGGTGGCCCGTGCAGGGGACAGTCGTGTCTGTCCTGCTTGCCCAAGACACCCGCTCCTTCATGGATGACGTCTCCTGTTGGGGTCATGACAGCTGCTGTAGCAGGTTACCCCCTTTCAGTTCCTGGTAACACAACACCGATCTGCTCTCGCCCACGGACGGGTCAGTGTGGTATCCAGGGTCAGCAGCTAGTGTGGGTTCCCCAGCTCCTGCCAGGGTGGGCCTGGCCGCCTCTGAGGCCGCAGAATCCTCTGCAAAGAGCGTGGGGAAACCCCAATGTGCTTCTGAGAAGCGCCAGCTAGAAGTGACACGCACTGCTTCTACCCACGCTCCGCCCTGGTGACGAGTCGCCTGTGGATGTGAGGGGGCTGGGAAAGGAGGTCCGTGGCCGGCCGGGGCCTCTCCCGACAAGCCCACACCTGCAATGAGAAAGCACTAACTTCCGGTGGCCGGCAGCCCTTCTGCCTCATCCGGGTCTCTCTCGGTGTCTGCGCGTGGCCTGTCCCTCTCTTCACCTTGTCTCTCTCCATCTCGCCCCTGTCTGTGCTTCTGGCCATCACACAGGTCATTCCGGCAGAGCCCCCTCCACCGGAGTCCCCAGATGGGTGCAGGTGCCCGAAGGAGTCATTTACGCCACCATCACCTTGGGTACTGCTTGTCCCCAGAGCGGGGATGCCAGTGACCCCGTGCCTGCTGCCTGGCTCCCAGAGGCGGGTGCATGCCCCTGGCGTGGCCACTGCCCTCTCCCTGTCCTCCCTCCTGGGTCCCGCATGCCGGGTGCCACCCCTCCATAGACCCCTGCCTGTGGCATCCGTATGTGCTGCCGGAGGACTCGGCGCTTCTTGGTTGGTCTGCCCTCTCCCCACGGACAGGTTACAGGGACAGTGGGGGCAGCCAGAACGGGGATGGGATTATCTGATCATCCTGTCGCCTGTTCACCCCGGTGGGGGTGGGCGGGCCCCGGAAGCTAAGTGTCTGTTTTAAGAATATCCTATGTTTATGGTGGTGCTGTGATTGCCCTTTAGGGAGAAATAAAATGAATCCATTCGCCCTAAACTTCCTCCAAGCTGCTCCAGGTAGCGTGAGGTACTATGATATGCTTTTTTTCTCAATTAGCTCCCCCCCCCCACACACACGCACCCCAGAGGTGGACGGACAGGTGTTAGATTTCTTCCTGGAACACACGGGGCAACCCCCAAAACACAAAACAGCCAGGGGACTTGGCCAATCTCTTCACACTGAACTCTGCAGCCTCCCGCCTTAATTTTTGTTACTGTGGGAGTGTCCCAGTGGCAATGCCTGATTCTTCTTATCTCACTTATTGCAATACTGACATTGAGGACTTTTTCAAAATAAAATCACCCTCATCCCACCAGCAGACCCAGTCACCTACTGTGAATCCCCCCCCCCCCCCCCCCCCGTTGCCGTCAGTGCTGATCTATTTGCACATAAATTGTAAGCGTGCTTTCTCGGGCTGTCGCATTCGAGTTTGAGTTGCAGAATAGTCTGTAGTTTTCATTGACTGCACTTGCATGCCTGCTCCTAAGTGGATGAAATCATACTTCCCCCTTCTCCCCCTGCTGACTGTGAAACTGCTTGCATTAATATCTTAATGCATGTAACCTTCCCCCCTTCCTTCCTTTTTAAAAAACTAGCTTCCCAGGATAAACTCCCAGGACCGGGATTACTGGGTCAAAGGGTGTGGGTGTTTTAATGGCCCTTGAAACAACAGGCTGACAGACCGTTCTCTGAGAGGCTTGGGTTAATGGACGTTGCCACCGGCCATAGGCGAGCTCAGGGTCCCCAGTGGGGGTCGCCGCTGTTTGCAATCCTTGCTTATTTAACAGGTGTAAAACCATGAACTGTGCAACATCTGTGTTAAGCCACGAAGGGAAGTAGTACCACGCTGCTTTTAAAGAAAACTGATGTGAAAAGACCCAGAGGGTTACTTTTAGAAAGTAAAATAACCTAAAGCACATAGTCATTGGTATTGTGGCCGGAAGAACGATGGCCGTGGGCTCATTCGTTTCCTATAAAAAAATTCAAATGCGGCCTGTGTTCTTAGTGTGCAGGAGCCCGGCTGTGCAGATAACGGGGGGGGCTCCTGGGGGGGACGGAAGACAAGGGGCCCATGAGGGGTCTCTCATGGGAAGGAGGCCTCACCCATCCTGACTCAAGGACACAGAACATGTCTGTCGCGGTCACAGGGAAGGAGATGAGGGGCCCACTTCCGTTAGGGCTGCTCAGTAATGGAAGCAGTTGTAAGGTAGTGAGCTCCCTGTCCACTGGGGAATTCAAGCAGAGGCTGCAACAGCGTCAGGGTTGCAATAGGATTCCTGTGCTGAGCTAGGGATTGGACCAGGGATCCTGGTGTTCTCTGAGTTTTGTTTTTTGGGGGATGTTACTGATTTATTTATTTTTCTTCACCTAGTTTTCGTTGGCCTCGAATAGCGCAGCGAGGTTGGGAGAATAGAGCAAATATTGCAGAGTGTGGGGGGGCAGACACTGAGATGTGTGGAGTGTGCGTAGATTTGGGTCCAGTTTGCGTTTGATGAGCTTTGGGATCCTTTCGAACAGAAGGAAAATGTGAGGTTGGCTCGTTGACAGAGGGGCGGAAGCGTATGGGTTGGGGATAAGTAGGAGGAGCTAGGCTTGTGCTGGGCAGTGTCAGTGGCCGGGAAAGAGAATGCGGTCTGTGGAGGATGAGGATGGTTTTTTTTTTAAGGTCATGATTAGGAGGGGGCACTGCGGAATGGCAAGATGGCCCCTTCCCCAGAAAGCATTTCCTGCCCCGGTTTTGTATTTTGCCTTTTCTTCCCCAGAAGCCGCATCGCCTCCCTGCCCCCAGGATAGAACCAGGGACGGGGCAGGCAGCTGTCGGAGGCTTGCCATGTGCCCGGCTCTGGGCTCAGAGGGCGACCCCTCCCTCCCGGCCATTAAGATGACAGCATACGGGTCAGGAAGGTCCCACTGCACAGGGGAAGAGACAGAGGTCCCAAGTGGGGAGCTGGCCGTCTCCACAGGCAGAGGCCCGTCTGAGGAGGGAGGTGTCCCGTCAGGTTTCTCTGGACTCCGAGACGGCGTGAGGAGGAAGAGGGAAGGACTCTGGTTTTAAGTTATTTGTATATGTGGCCAGAGGCAGCATCCAAGCCGCCTTGCTCAGCGGGGTTGGGCCCGGAAACTGCCTGGTCTGTGGTCAGCAGCCGTGGGGCTGGTTCAAGGGCAAAAGAGAGGCGGGAGGGTTGGGGCCTGGGGGCCAGTGGCTGCTCCCACCTGCTGCCTGCTTCCCTCCCTCCTGAACAAACCAGCATGTTTGAGAGCATCCCCTGCCCTGCCTGGCGGGGACTCAGGGGTGTGACCTAGTGGGTGTGCCTTGCAGAGGATGGAGAGGCCGTGAGCAGCTCCTACGAGTCCTACGACGAGGATGAAGGCAGCAAGGGCAAGTCGGCCCCCTACCAGTGGCCCTCGCCCGAGGCCAGCATCGAGCTGATGCGCGACGCCCGCATCTGCGCCTTCCTGTGGCGCAAGAAGTGGCTGGGGCAGTGGGCCAAGCAGCTCTGCGTCATCAGGGACACCCGACTCCTGGTCAGTGGTCTCAGGTCGCGTTCTGGTCTTCTCTCTCTTTTTAGGGGTGGGGGGTAGTCCCTAATACCAGGTGGTCAGACCCCTTTCTGCCAGATTTTTACCTCTCCCTAACCTGGAGTTGTATGTAGGACTTTGCATGCATGCATGAATGTTTGTTTTTAAAATATATTTTTATTGATTTCAGAGAGGGAGAGGGAGAGAAACATCAATGAGAGAGAATCATCGATCGGCTGCCTCTTGCACGCCCCACACTGGGGATCGAGCCCACAACCCAGGCATGTGCCTGACCGGGAATCAAACCGTGACCTCCTGGTTCATAGGTCGAAGTTGAACCACTGAGCCACGCCAGCTGGGCTGAATGCTCTTTTTTAAAAAATTCGTTTTTATGGTTTATTACTGCCCCCAAAATAATTAAACCTGAACCTGATCAAGCTTCTAAGAACGTACTTTTTCTGAACTAGAAAGTCTAATGGTTTTCATCAAACTCTCAAAGGGGGACTAAGATGACCACACCCATCCTATCCCATCCCCGTTTTTTCCAGGGACCTTTCTGTTCCCCGGCCTGAGGGCCCATGCTTCCGCCCATCCTGAGCACTGGGGGTTGTGGGTGGGGCTGCTGCCCTGTCAGGGCTCCCCTAGCCCAGCCCAGCCCAGCCCCAGTCCTGGCTGCTGCATTTGTCTGTGCAGCATGAAAAGCACAGGTTAGGTGTCTCCTCAGAAGTCACAGTATTTTGAATTCGTGATCATAAGAAAGACTCATAAAGGAATCAAAGGATATTATCCTGAACACAGCCCGGTTTCCTGTTATTTAAAATTCATTTTTTGGTCCTGATTTGAAGTTCCAGGGCATCGTTATAAACACCCTTTCTTCACAGCGTGCCCTGCCCTGTGCAGACGGTCCGTCGGGTGATCCTGGGAGGACCCCCCCTTGTACAAATGAGAAACTGAGGGGCACAGAATTGTCTCTGGCAGGAGGAGAAAGTGCCTTTCTTGCATTTTTTTCCCCTTTTAATATATTTTTATTGATTTCAGAGAGGAAGGGAGAAGGAGAGATCGAAACATCAATGATGAGGGAGAATCATTCATTGCTGCCTCCTGCACGCCCCACACTGGGGACCGAACCCACAACCCAGGCATGTGTCCCGACCGGGAATCGAACTGACCTCCTGGTTCATAGGTCGATGCTCAACCACTGACCCACACCAGCCGGGCGAAAGCCCCTTTCTTTTCTTACTAATGATGTCACCTTCCTAACCAAGGAAGGAAAAACTTAGTCTTCATTCCCTACGGCCCCCGGACTGGGGGAGCTGAGCAGGCAATGCGGCGGTGGAGAAGTGGGACAAGCGTGTTCCACCCTGAGTGAGAGTCGCCCTCTGAGGTTGTGTTTTAGGGCCAGGACAAGCAGGGATCTTCTCCCTGCCCCCCACCCCCCGGCTGAGGCCAGAGAGGAGGAGGCTGAGGCAGGGAGACAGCCGGCTGGTCTCATGCTCAGACCGAGTTGCCACGTTTGAGGTTACGGTTCTGCACTTGCGCAGGGTACCTGGTCCTTCGGTTTTATTGGCAGAACCCAGGTCTCAGCGGGTCCTGCCATGCCCGGCGGCCCCTCCTCTGCAGACTCGGGCGAGGCCGGGCACCCCGGCCAAGCAGCATCTCGTCTCTTTCCTCCCAGTGTTACAAATCCTCCAAGGACCACAGCCCTCAGCTGGACGTGAACTTGCTGGGCAGCAGCGTCGTCCACAAGGAGAAGCAAGTGCGGAAGAAGGAGCACAAGCTGAAGATCACGCCGATGAACGCCGACGTCATCGTCCTGGGCCTGCAGAGCAAGGACCAGGCGGAGCAGTGGCTGAGGGTGAGCGGCCCTGCAGCTCCCGGCTCTCCCCAGAGGGATGGGTGCTGCCGAGGGCCAGGGGTCTGTGACCCAGCTCCCAGGGCGCCTGCGTGCTGAGTGGCAGCCATCGGTCTAAGGCAGTGGTTCTCAACCTTCTAGGCCCTTTTAAATACAGTTCCTCATGTTGTGACCCAACCATAAAATTATTTTCGTTGCTACTTCATAACTGTCATGTTGCTACTGTGATGAATCGTCATGTAAATATCTGGAATGCAGGATGGTCTTAGGCGACCCCTGTGAAAGGGTCATTCGACCACCAAAGGGGTCTTGACCCACAGGTTGAGAACCGTTGGTCTAAGGCAGTGGTCGGCAAACTGCGGCTCACGAGCCACATGCGGCTCTTTGGCCCCTTGAGTGTGGCTCTTCCACAAAATACCACATGCGGGCGCGCACGTACAGTGCGATTGAAACTTCGTGGCCCATACGCAGAAGTCGGTATTTTGTGAAAGAGCCACACTCAAGGGGCCAAAGAGCCGCATGTGGCTCGCGAGCCGCAGTTTGCCGACCACTAGTCTAAGGGATGTGGATCCCAGACTCGGCTGCGGGGCTGACATCCTCTCAGCCGCCTGGATTGGGCTCTGGTTGAAATCCTCTTGTTTTCTGGCCCCCAGGGAGGCATCACCAGCCTCCTTATTAAGGAACAGATGCAGCTGGCTCTTGTAAGCACCTACCAGGGGCCATGCACTTTTAACCAGTTTAACCACAGGGCAGGGAGCCAGGCCACATTATCGCCCCCATTTTGGAATGGCGATTAGGGCTGAGGGAGGAAGTGACCAAGCAAGGTCACCTGGCAAGTGAGTGGCAGCATCTGGTTTCCAACCCAGAACCGTCTGACCACGGTCCTGTGTTCTGCCTACACTTACCGTGATGTGGCCCCCGCAGTGGAGCACCTGGGAGGGGCCTGCCTGCCCCATATCACAGATGAGCTGGACCATCCCAGACGGTGTAAGGTTTGTGCCGAGAAGGGGCCACAGTTGCAGAGGGAGCTCCAAACCCAGCAGGTTCCATGGTGAGGCCAGAGAGGCCCTCGCCCTCCTTACCCCTACCCCGAACCCCTCCTCCATTACAGCCACGTTGATGCATTTCCAAAGCAGGAGCATTCTGTCAGCCCTCCACCCCCATCTGTACACATGCACAAATGCATGCACACACAGACATTTACACGGACACACACATGCACGCACACGCTGCTATTGCTCCAGTTCCCGGCGCCGTTCCTCTGCCACCTCAGCCCCATTGGTCCTTCCCCTGACCCCAGCCTCCCTCCCCAGCTCGCACCCTTTTCCTGAGACCCCTGCCCTCCCCTCACTCTGCCGGTGGTTTAAAGACAAGAACACTGAGAAGACACAGCCGCTGTCGGCCTTCACAGACAGGCTCTGTCCTCCCTGGTCCGATGAGTGCAGAGGTGGACTTGGCCGTGAGGGCCTGGCTCTTGAGCAGCTGTACACACCTGCAGTTGGGCGGGGCTGGTCAGCCTGTCCAAGGGGCCCTGGACCAGACGCATCTGTTTTGCCAAATCTACCTGCCTGCCCCGGCCTCCCAGCTCTGCATGACACCTGTGCCCGCCGGATGGGACAGGGATGTGACAGCAAATGGGAGATGTGATACGGGACAGAGTTCCAGAAAAGGAAGGCACAGAGCACAACTGTCCCAGAGCAGTGGAATCCGCACGCCCCGGGGCCTGGACACCCGGCTTAGCATGCTTCCCCTGGGCAGGTCCTCCTCCCATCCCCGCCCCCACCTAACACGGGTGGCAATGAACGTGCCTTGCGCAGGGTACCTGGCACTTTGCACGCCAGACCCCACAGCTGCCCGTGGCTTGGTATTGTCCCATCTTATAGATGTGGTGACTGAGGCTCAGACCCAAGGTCAGTGTCAGGAATGAAAAAGGCCTTAAGTTTCTCCATCCCAGAGCTGTTTCGCCTTTTGTTCTTTGGCTTTTCTGATTTTAACCGCTTTTCATAAACTGCTTTCGGCGAAGACAGAAAAAGGAGGGTCTTTGAAATCACTCTTGCTAAGTCCACGGCTCCCAAGGGCTTCCAGCTGGGCAGCATGTTTGTGGCTACCCTGGCGGTCACCCTGTGGGAGTCCCCTACCTGGAACGGGGTGCTGCTTAGCGTTGACCTGCGTGTCCTCAGCCCAGGCCCGCAGAGCGGAGGGCTGTCTGCCATGGCCATCTGTGGACTTGATTGTAAAAACCCCCGCCCCCAGCCTTGTCCATCCCCAAAACACGTGGGGGCCTGCAGGAGAGAGGGCCTGAGGAACTGCCCGCCCTCACCCCCATCGCAGCCTGCCCGGCTTGGTCCCCAGGCCACATGTGGGCCAGGTGTTGGGAGTGGGGTGGTTCTGTGTCCTGGGGGAATCATGCATCTTCTCCCTCACCTGCACCCACTCTCTCCTGACCCCAAGGGGCTCCAGCTTCCGTCTGTGCATTCAGGGTGGGCCAGAAGGACTTGGGGGCCTGGACCTCTGCTGATGGCTCCCTCTCCCTCTCCCTCAGGTCATCCAGGAGGTGAGCGGCCTGCCTTCAGACGGTGCGGCCGAGGGAAACCAGTACTCCCCGGAGGCCCAGCGCCTGAGCTGTCAGAAGGTAAGAATCCAATTCCATTTGTCTCCATAAAAATTAAAGTATAAAACGGGAAGCTTTGTTTCCACATTCAGCCCAGTTCAACAAGAAACGGCAAGGCTTGGCTACGGGCTGTGGCTTCTGCGTGGCAGGGAAACTGGTGACATGGACCGACCTAAACTTTCTCGCTTCGCTGGGCAGCAGGGGGGGAGCTCTGCGGGAACAGAGGCACTCTGCCCCCCAAGCAGTGAGGCTTGTTTCTCGAAGCTCTTTCTGCCCGCTGACCCCCAGCAGAGGTCCAGGGGCTGGGGCACTGAACCACAGGGCCCTGGTGCTCATTTGCATCGGGCTGCGGAGCCCCTGCTGAAGGGTCAAAGTCGAGGAAGTTTGCTGGGTGCTGACCAACAGGGAGGCCTCCCCCATTGGGTGACATTTCATGGCCCCGAGTACGTGCAGGTCGGCGCCCTGCAGCCTGGGCATGCACAGCGCAGGCAGAGGGTCACTGCGTCTCATCGTGGGGTCCCCACCCCTGACCAGGAGGGAAGTCGAGGCCTTGAGCAGGGAGGAGGGACTGAGGAAGGGCTGTGGCCGTTGTCTCTCTTCCTTGGTCATGGACAAGAAACAGAGCCAGAGTAGGCGGGGGGTGTTCTTCACGTGGGGTGAGACGTGAGCTCAGTCCCTAAAGACCTGGCCGGCAGGTTCTGCCCTGGTCCTGCCCTAAGGCTGGTCCCAGCGGCTGGGAGTCCCAGGGTTTACTTTGCAGAGGCCGGGGTAAGTGGTTCTAGAAGCAGCTTGATTGGAATAATCTGATACTACTTCCTGTTTGTTTTTTAAAATATATTTTATTGATTTCAGAGAGGAAGGGAGGAGAGCTAGAAACATCAATGCTGAGAGAGAATCATTGATTGGCTGCCTCCTGTGGGGATTGAGCCCACAACCCGGGCATGTGCCCTGACCGGGAATCGAACCATGACCTCCTGGTTCATAGGTCGACACTTAACCACTAACCTACACCAACCAAGCAAGATGCTTCCCATTCTAGCAGCAGCAGCCACGCCCCTCCTGTAGGGACGACCTCTAGCTCCCCAGCAGCCCCAGGAATGCCCACGGGGGGTGGGGAGGAAGGAGGGGGTGCCATCTATTTTATGCACATGCATAGTGGGCTCCCGGAGCACCCCCCAGCTGGAGAATGTGCCAGCGGGATTCAGATCATGCTCTGGCCCGTGCAGACATGCTGGCCCTCCTCTGAAGCCCGAAGTGTTGGTAGCTGCCAGTTCTCGACTTTCTCACGCTCCTGGCCTGGGTGGTTCCCCGCCTGACATCAGCTTCGGCTGCAGATGCCCACTCTAATGCCACCTCCCTCCCCACCTCCCCGGGCTCCAGGGCCACTGTCATGTCAGGGCGAGCAGCCATGTGAACAAGGGACAGGTGCTCTGGGGTGGGGCAGGGGACCTCAGAGAGGGAGGGTGAGGGCAGGTCCCCAGAGGGCAGCCCAGCCAGTGCCTCACCAGAGGCCTGGACTCCAGGGTGACCGCTAGCCGACATCTGAGAGAATTATTTTCTCTTAAACTGTGGTCTCTGACGAAACCATTCCCAGATAGGATCACCCACTTGTCTCTCTTTCTTCCCCAGGCAGATATAGCCGAGAAGTACCTGTCCGCCTCGGAGTATGGGAGCTCTGTAGATGGCCACGCTGAGGTCCCCGAGACCAAAGATGGTACCCACGCTTATGGCTCTCAGCCCAGGGTGGGGAGGGGATGGTCCCCAGGCTGTGTGGCCCAACCCTAATGCGCTTCAACAGCTACTTCCACCATGCCTCCCCTTTATAAACAGCTAACAGATCCAGGGAAAAGGGAGAGATGACCAAATGGAAGTTCCATGACTTGCTGGGGGTAGAATATTCTCTCATCCTCTTGTTGGCTCACCCTGCTTTAAGGGTCTTGGAGCTCATGCAGTCTGTAGATGCCCAGGTGCTGGAACATTCCATGGGAGAAGCCGGGGTGCCCCCCTTGAGTGTGCGAATCTACAGACCCCTGGCTCTGGGCTGTGGGTCTTGGTGTGGGGAGCAGGAGTCTGTATGTGTGCGCATGCGTGCACACATGTGTGTGCAGGGAGGGGCAGCTGTGGTGGGGAGGGTCTTCTATTTTCCCATCTACTCTAGGGCCTGGGGCTAAGCCGTGTGCGATGCTGATGGCTTTTTCTCTCACTCGACAGTGAAGAAGAAGTGCTCTGCGGGCCTCAAACTGAGCAACCTGATGAACCTGGGCAGGAAGAAGTCCACCTCGCTGGAGCCTGCAGAGAGGTCCCTGGAGACCGCCTGTAAGAAGCGCAGCGTCTCCTGGGCCGCAGGGCTTGACCCCTGGGCTGCAGCCCGTCTCCAGGAAGGCAGCTCAGACAGCGAAGGCAGGGGCTGTAGGTCTCGCTTTAAACGTGTCTTAGGGATGTGGAGTCGTGGCCCAGTTCCCGTCTCTCTTCACTGCAGGTAGTTCTTCTTTATGTCTGGCCAGACTCTCTCACTGCAGTGTGGATCTTTTGCGGAAGTGAAGGGTAATGGATTGCTGTCCTCCTAATGGTCTGGGAAAACATGTTTGTTAGATCGATACTTAAGGAGCTTGGCAGGCACAGTGTTACGGAGAGGGAACCAAGCGGATGGAGGACACAGTCCTGGCAGCTTAGAGCTCAAGAGAGATGACAGCTTTGCCCCCCTCGCCACATACCTGCTGGCTGAGCAGCTATCAGGACTCGGGGACGGAAAGAACCTTTCCCGCTCTGGACAGAGGTGGATTCCTCAACCGGAGTCTTGACGAACAGGCAGGAGCTATGTAGGCTCAGAGGTACTCGGGGTGGGAGCCAAGACAGACGCAGACTGGTGAGACGCATTCAGGGGCCGGGCTGGCGAAAGCCCACGTCGCTGGGACAGAGGGCGTGTAGGGAGCTAGTAGACTCTTAGAGGTCACCTCCACTGCCCTATCTCAGCCTGAGGAAACTGAGGACAGGAGAGGGAGAGAGAGACCTTTCCCAGAATATCTGAGTGAGCCGCGTCCTGGTGTTCCACCCGGGCTCAATGCTATAGGTCAGTGATGGCGAACCTTTTGAGCTCGGCGTGTCAGCATTTTGAAAAACCCTAACTTAACTCCGGTGCTGTGTCACATATAGAAATTTTTTGATATTTGCAACCATAGTAAAAGACTTATATTTTTGATATTTATTTTATATATTTAAATGCCATTTAACAAAGAAAAATCAACCAAAAAAACGAGTTCGCGTGTCACCTCTGACACGTGTGTCATAGGTTCGCCATCACTGCTATAGGTCTCCCGGGACCTGAAGGCCATCACTGTCCATCTTCGGGCCCTTTCCTCTTACTCCTGGGACCCCTGTCCCAGCCTCAGGCCCACTCTGTTCTGTGTCTGAGGCTGGCTGGGTGGCCGGGGTGGAATGGCAAGGCAGCACAGGGCCCTCACCTTTGGAGCCTGCCGCTTCTCCTGCCAGGGCACCCAAGGCCTCAGGGCACAGTGTTGGGCACGGGAGCCTGGTCCCCGTGAGTCATTTTGGGAGATGTGGCTGGGTTACTGCTGGAAGTTGCTCAGTGGAAAAGCCTGCTCCTGTCCCCCGTGGCTGGGGAAGGGCCCGAGAGAGCACAGACACTCTCCTCCCCAGGCTCAGCCTCAGTGCTTGAGCCTCTCCTGACCCAGAGTTCTCTTCGGTGCAGGGAACTGTGATGGACCAGTGGGGTGCCTGCCCAGAGGAGCCAGAGGTCCTAGATCCTGGGCACAAATCCCCCCACTTTGCTACTGTGTCGTGGTGTTCATGTGGCTCAGAAATTCATGATCCCCACTGTGTGGCCGGCACCGGGTGGGTGGGAAGGTGGCTGTGCACCTTGACCTTGCTGGGTGAGCCTCGTTCATCTGGCTGCAGTTCTGAACAGCTCTTAGGGGCAAAAAAGAACCAATTGGTCAGCCAGCGGCACAGAGGGATGTCAACCCACTGCACAGGGGCGTGCAAAGGGCCTGTAGACTGGAGTCACTCATCTGTGCAGCCCAGGGACAAGGCCATGCTTACACGGGGTGTCAGCTCCCCACATGTTAATCTAAGTGGGGGGAGGCTTGTCCTCTTCTCGGGAAGCTGAACGGAACACATGGGACCACTTGAGAGCAGTGAGGGCTGCCTCGTGAGTGGACCCTGGCAGCCTCTGGGTGCTGCCGGAAGAGGGGCTCCCTGGCAGAGGCCGCAGGGCGCAGACCCGGCTGCCTGAGATGAACGTGCAAGTTCCTGGACAGGAGAAGCTGTGAGTCCCGTTGGAGAGGCTGACACGGAAGCAGAGGGTGCCACTGTTCCAGACCCAGCTGTTCAGAAGGCAGACAGGGCGCGCAGGGCCCGGGGAGGGCCGAGGCCAAGTGCATCTGGAAGGATGAGGAGGGCTCTGTAGGCTGAGACTGAGTGACCCAGGGCGGGCAAGGCTGGCAGGGCCGCTGGGAAGCTAAGGCTGCAGAGGCAAAGGGCTTGCACCTACAATGAGGAGACCCACCTGGGGCGAGCTTCCTGCACGTGGCCCGAGTGAGGAGAGGCAGAGGTGGGCTGCTGCAGGCTGGACGTGTAGAGCCGTGGCGAGCCGCGAGGGCTGGGGCGGGGGATTCTGTCCCAGACACCTACATACTGACCTAGTGTAGTCCAAGGTGCAGCTCACTTCCCTCTGGACACACCTTTTCAAAAGCCAGCAGAGCTATGCTGCCTGACTTGAAAGGGTCTCGCTGCTAGCCTGCAGGAGGGAAGGAGAACATATGACAGAGATTTCCAGCCTCTGTGAGCTAAGAAGCTGCTCAGGCATTGGAGCTGAGACTCTGGGGGGAACCCCGGAGGCCCGGAGGTGGGGGCAGCCACCCCAGCTTCCTGCAGCCGCCGCCTCTCCTGCAGGTTACCTGAACGTGCTGGTGAACAGCCAGTGGAAGTCACGCTGGTGCTCCGTCAGGGACAGCCACCTGCACTTCTACCAGGACCGGAACCGCAGCAAGGTGGCCCAGCAGCCCCTGAGCCTGGTGGGCTGTGAGGTGGTCCCGGACCCGAGCCCGGACCACCTGTACTCCTTCCGCATCCTCCACAACGGCGAGGAGCTGGCCAAGCTCGAGGTACTGCTGGCCCGGGGGTGGCGGGCGCAGGCAGGGCGGAGGTCGGCTCTGTGCTGCAAGTCATGGAGACGCCGTGTAGTCCTGGGTTGTTTTGGTTTCCTTTGCGTGAGATTGTTTGCATTTTTCAAAAATTTCCATTCCCTTTCTGACCTCAGGGTGGTTGTGTTAGAGGAGCGGACAATGAGCTGCTTCCTGCGCTTAGGGCCGGAGGGGAATTTATAACTCCCTGAGCCGCAGGGGAACCTTCTGGAGATTCACAGTGGGTTTGGTGTAGTTTGTGTAGCACCAGATGCAGCCCAGTCCATAAACATGACGCCTGTTAGGGCTTATCTGGGGGCAAGCATCAGGCTGGTGATACAATGCCTTTCTCCCACTCCCCACCCTGTCGAACGTGATGTCACACTGACAGAAATAAAAGGTGACATAATGCCTGGCGTTGAGCTAGGCAGGTCGCAGCCAGAGTTCTTTCTTCACACACAGAAGCACACCCTTCCCAGCTGGCTCCTGCTCACCTAGTCCAGCGGTTCTCAACCTGTGGGTCGCGACCCCTTCGGGGGGTCGAATGACCCTTTCACAGGGGGGCGCCTAAGACCATCGGAAAACACATATATAATGACATATTGTTTTTGTGATTCATCACTATGCTTTAATGATGTTCAATTTGTAACAATGAAAATACATCCTGCATATCAGATATTCACATGACGATTCAGAACAGTAGCAAAATTACAGTTATGAAGTAGCAACGAAAATAATTTTATGGTTGGGGGTCACCACATGAGGAACTGTATTAAAGGGTCGCGGCAGTAGGAAGGTTGAGAACCGCTGACCTAGTCCTTCAGCCAGGAAGACTTCATCCAAATTTTGCTTCAATACTGCCCTCTTGTGGCTAAAAGATCCACATCTCAGTTGCTTCTCAGGGATAAGTTTGTATATAATCTGTCGGGTCAACAAGTATGATAACACGTGACCAAGACTGACATGCTCCCTGTGCTCATGGAACTTACATTCTAGTACGAGATGTTCTCCAGTCAGTTACCCAATTGGTTCCTCAGGCCAAGTCTTCCGAGGAAATGGGCCACTGGCTCGGCCTCCTGCTCTCCGAGTCGGGCTCCAAGACAGACCCAGAGGAATTCACCTACGACTACGTGGATGCAGACAGGGTCTCCTGTATTGTGAGTGCGGCCAAGAACTCCCTGCTGTGAGTACCGCGGGTCTTCTGCGCCCTTGCACTCAGAGTCATGCTTCCAACTCCAGGCCCAGATTGGCCTCTGGTGGCCAGTCGCGCTGGGGGGTGGCGGAGAACTCGGGGTGGGCCCCGCTCCACCGAGCAGCAGGACCAGCAGCCGCAGCACTTGGCTGGGGGAAGACCATCCAGGTCCTTATAGCCTAAACGGCATGTTCCCTGACCCTCTGTTTCCCTCGGTGCTTTCCCGAGGACCCCCCTCTGGGTCCCCAGCGCCCCCTGGAACAAGCAGGGCGGAGGTGGTGCTTCCGCTTTCTAGATGAGCACACGGGCTCCTGGGCCGGGTGGCTGAGGAGCCGCCAGGACACGGAACCCCTTTCTTATGTACAAAATGGGGAAGTCTCTGGTTGTTGACAGTGAAATGGGGAGGGGTTTTGTTGTTATTGGAGATCCTAAAACGGGGCCAGAAGATGGCAAAAGGATGCCAAGGGGGGTGGGAAAGGGATGCTTTTCTGGAAGAGAAGTTTGGGACCCACAGTTCTATAGGAAGGCCCAAAAGAGAGGGAGGGGCTGCCTGAATGAATGAGTGTTACATGAGACCGGAGCTAGTCTCGTTATGAACTCTTTGAGGCTGGTGGCTTTTACCGCCCTCCTCCCCGTCTTGAATCCTCCTCCCCGAGTCTTGCCGTGTGTCTTCCAGATTGATGCAGAGGAAGTTCTCAGAGCCCAACACTTACATCGACGGCCTGCCCAGCCAGGATCGCCCGGAGCTGCTGTATGACGACGTGGAGATGTCCGAGCTGACGGCCGCGGTAAGGACGCTGGGGATGGCCGCGGGGGGCTGTCCAGTCCTCCTGCTGCCAAACCTCAATCCCATTGGCCATAGGAGAAGTGGATTCCAAGTCACTTGCAGGGCCACCAGGGCAGAAATCTCGGTGCAACAAGGTCGCCTTTTGTATTGGGGCGGGCAGTCCGCCTGGCATGGGGACTCGTCGGGTTGGCCACTCTGGTCAGTGCTAGGATGGGCTGTGCTGCTGGGGTTGGGAGCCGCGTCCCCATCAATCAGCCTTTGGGGTCCAGAATGATAGTAAAGGTGGAATCATCGAATGGGCAGGAGGTTCCATGGTCAGACACTGGGCTCTGCTGTGCTAAGGGCTGCTGTGGCTGATCTCATTTAATCCAGGCCACCTGCGAGGCAGGTACCATTACTCTCTCCTCTTACAGCTGAGGAATGAAGGTCAGGAAAGCTCGTACTATGTCCTGGGTCTCCCACCTCTTGAGGGGCCGATCCAGGGCTTGAACCCTGACCTTCTAACTCCAGATCAATAGAGGCTTCCCTGGGGGAAGGTCCCTGCGCACCCCACACAGGGAGGGGACGGGAGCTCTGAGACAGGGCAGGTGCCATCTCTCCAGCCCAGGGTGCGGACGCAATGGTGAAAGCCACCTGCCTCTCCACTGCAGGTGGACCCCGAGGAAGCCGCCCCGGCCACAGATGCTCCGAGCGAGCTCGACCCTGACCGCATGTACCTGGACCTCACGCCGGTCAAGTCCTTCCTGCACAGTCAGGGTGGCACCCAGGCCCGAGGCTGCTCCCCCACACCGCCCTGCCTGGACCCTCCAGCAGAGGCCCTCCCTGCAGACCCGGGCCCCGCCCCAGCTGAGCCCCCCGTCGATACATCTGCAGAGACCCCCGAGTTGCAGGTACAGGTCGTCCCCCAGCTGGTGGGCTGGCCCCACCTTCCCAGGCCCCTCAGCCGGCTGAGTTGTGCTCGCTTTCTCCAAAAGCAGGTGCAGCAGGAGAGTCTGGAGCCGGAGGAGCTGTCCCCCAGAATCTCGACGGTCAAAATCCAGACTGAACAGCAAAAACTCTCCTTCTCATCGAGCTGCCCTGACGCTGTGGCTGTCACCCTAGCCGGGGCCAGCACGCCTGCGAAGGACAGGCTGAGGGTGACCTCTGCAGGTACCTGTGCTGGCTATGAGTTGCATGTCTTAGAAATGGCTCAGAGGAGGAGGGACTTGCCCCAGGCCATGCAGTGGAGAAGGGGTGGTGCCCATTTCCTTTTCCGGCCCTGCAAGGCTGGCCTGGCGTCCAGCTCTGATTTCCTGTCAAAGCCTCAGTTTCCCCAGAGCCTGTGTGATGGGTTGGCCATGGTCCAGCCTGGCTGACCTCGGGGTTCCCTGTCTGGGTTTGTAGAGATCAAACTTGGCAAGAACAGGACGGAAGCTGAGGTGAAGCGGTACACGGAGGAGAAGGAGAGGCTGGAGAAGATGAAGGAAGAAATCCGGGGGCACCTGGCTCAGCTCCGGAAGGAGAAACGGGAGCTGAGGGAGACCCTGTCGAAATGCACAGGTGAGGGGCCTGGCAGGGCACGTGGAGCCTGGACCTGGGCCCTGGCCTACAGCCCTGCCAGTCTTTGCATAGGTACATGTTCCCCATCTTAACCCCCCCATCTGAAGGTCACTGTCCTATGCAGAGAGACCTCCTGACCCATTGTCAACAGGCCCAGGAGGTAGTTTTAAAAGCTAGCTCAAAGAATACATCCTTAAACATTTTATTTTCACTTCAATGTATATACACCCAGGTCCATCTTTCCATGCGTTGCCTTTTTCAGAGATCCCATGTCATCGTTCTTGCATTAACCACACGCATCCTGAATCATTCTTAATTTCCAGTCTTCAAAGACTTAGGACACTTGCAGAGAAATCTGCGTCCCTCTAGATCAGTGGCTCTCAACCTTCCTAATGCCGCGACCCTTTAATACAGTTCCTCATGTTGTGGTGACCCCCAACCATAAAATTATTTTCGTTGCTACTTCATAACTGTCATGTTGCTACTGTTCTGAATCGTAATGTAAATATCTGATATGCAGGATGTATTTTCATTGTTACAAATTGAACATAATGAAAGCATAGTGATTCATCACAAAAACAATATGTCATTATATATGTGTTTTCCGATGGTCTTAGGCGACCCCTGTGAAAGGGTCATTCAACCCCCAAAGGGGTCGCGACCCACAGGTTGAGAACCGCTGCTCTAGATCCTTATCTCACCCGTTTCTTAGCAACCTGCCCTTGAAAGGACCTGCCCTGGTCCTGGCTGAAACGCTGCTCCCTGCAGCCGGCCTCATTCCCATTCCAGACAAGGGGGCGCTGGCCAGCCTGGAGCAGAAGCTGAAGGAGATCGACGAGGAGTGCAGGGTGGAGGAGAGGAGGCGGGTGGACCTCGAGCTCAGCATCGTGGAGGTGAAGGACAACCTGAAGAAGGCCGAGGCCGGGCCCGTGACGCTGGGCACCACAGTGGACACCTCCCACCTGGAGACCGTGAGCCCCCGAGTGAGTGGCAGGAGCTGCAGGCAGGGCCTCCTGGACGGGGGTGGGCGGGCTCACGTCTCCATCCCCCCCCACGGCTCAGGCATCACTCTTTTGTCACCACAGCCCAAAGCCGCCGCCCCCACCCCTGCCCCAGACTGTACCCCCGTCAACTCTGCCACGGCGCTCAAGAACAGACCTCTTTCCGTCATGGTCACAGGCAAAGGCACCGTCCTCCAGAAAGCCAAGGTAAGCGGTCACTCCCGGCCCCCTCCAGGGCCCAGGGGCTGCACCAGACCTGACCTATCAGCCCGAGGACAGTCAGATCCTTGAACCACCCAATTAGCCATAGGTTCTAGGGAGACAGACGGGAAGTGGACAGTTTTCAAACCAAAAGAGCCAGTGATTCTAAAGGAGTCCTGCCGTGGCAGCTTAAGCAGCGGTCCTCAAACTACGGCCCGCGGGCCACATGCAAATACAAATATTGTATTTGTTCCCATTTTGTTTTTTTACTTCAAAATAAGATATGTGCAGTGTGTATAGGAATTTGTTCATAGTTTTTTTTTTAAACTATAGTCCGGCCCTCCAACGGTCTGAGGGACAGTGAACTGGCCCCCTGGCCTAAAGCCTCCAGCCACCAGGTGTCCAAGGCTTGGGAGGGTGTCGGCTCCTTCCTGGGCTTTCCCCCGACAGCCAGACACGAGTATTGTTAGTCCTTCCCTCGTGTCCAGTGCAGACGTGCCCAGAGTTGCCCGCGCATTCGGCAAACTCCATGGCACCTGCACCCACGACTACCGAATGCATTGGAGCTGCCGCTCCCCTGTGGCCGTGACAGACCCACGGACCCCTTCCCGTGCCCCGCCCAGTGACACATGCACAGGGTTTGAAACACAGCGGCTGCCTCTATTCCTAACGGGCTCTGTGCACGGGGCGGGGGCGGCCGCAGAGCACAGCTAACTGGCCTCTGTTTGGGGGCTGCTGGTATTTGAATGGCGCCCTAGGAATGGGAGAAGAAAGGGACCAGTTAGGACACAAGCGTCACGGCAAGCCTCTCCTGCCCACGTGGACCTTGGCGACAACCCCGCTTCGTCCAGGCCTTCCTTCAAGCAGCGACTCTGTGAGCGGGTGAGTCTGTTTAACAGGAAAAACAAGGACGGGGGACCGCGCACGGAGAGCTCCGGCTGATGGGAGGCGCGGGCCCTTTGCAGAGAAGGAGCTAGCAGGACCGGAGAGAGAGCTGTGACTTCAGCCGGCGCTGATGCCATGGATGACGCGGTAACGGAGCAGGAAATACTTGGGACCACGCGGAGGCACTGTCCCCACTCAGTTAAGGACCTTTTGAAAGTGACGCTGTATTATATTTTTAAAAATATGTTTCAAATCCTGTAATTTAGAACAGTGAAGTGTCTTTTGAGATTTAACTGACTTTCGACATTATCGTAGAAAAAAAGAGATTAGTGCTTTGTGTTTACAGAGTCCGTCCTGTGGCCATTCTTAAGAGTTATTTAATATAATGCTCTCGTAGTCCCGGTTTTTTTAAATTGTGCTTTATGTCCGGGCACCTTCCAAGATAATAAAAGGGGTGAGTTTGGGGTGGGCCCCCGTCTTTTCCTCCGATGGCATTGTTTGCTAACGCAGGTTGAAACATTTCATCCGTCATCTCCACCTCACGTCCAGGGGTTCTCGGAACTAAAGTTCTTTCTAACCCCAGGGCATTTATTTCCTTTGTCATAAACACTTGGTGGCCCTTTGCCAAGTGGTGAGTTAGATTTTTCTAAAAAAATAAAATGTTAATTGTATTTTTGGAGGTTTCTTGTATTTCATGGAGTGACTTGGCAGGGCCTGTTGGACTTGTACCTCAAGGGGGAATGTCTTGGATATTTATTTACACACTGAACTTCCAAATGTGTGTGTAAAACCGAGGGCTTTACAAGGTGCCATCTTAGCAGGTGATGTTATGCCTCCTTGACTCCAGGAGCATAGATGGAAAATGGAAAGGGTTTTCATAGTATAATTAACCACGCGCCAAATCCACTAGAAACATCTGCAGGAACTGACTACTTCTGGAAGCTAAACACATTCCTAAATCATTCTTCGGGGAAAGAAACTGGTACTTAGAGAGTTGCCTAAGTGGTAAATTAAGGAAGTTCCTAGCATAAATGTGTTTATTTTTACAAATAACAAAATTTGCCAATCTTTTTAGGCAGGACCTTTTTCATGTACGTCCAAAAATAAGATTTGGTTTTTCTTTTGCCAGTATGTGTTGGATTTTTGGTTCCAAAGCTGTGCTAACTGTATATAATGGAAAATACATACTCCTCAGACTGCTATGTTCATAGCATTTTCTTGTGATTCAAGAAAATCTTGTCAGCATGTGTACTCTAGGCTCAGTTGTGCCTTTAATGTCGCCTCAGGTTGCCAGGGTTTGGTTTTGTCATCTTTAAGCACATTAATGACCAGATAGCGTTGATTCAGAATCAAAGTGGTTCAACCACTGATAATACACTGATAGGTAAGTTATTGTATGTACAGATTATAGGTGGGGGGGAAAATCATCTCGAAGGAGCAGAAAAGCATATCACAAATCTCAACACTCCTAAAACATTCTCTGTCATCTAGGAATAAAAGCGTTCCTACCCACAAAAAAATATCTAATGGTGAAAAAGAAGCAGATATGTGCTGTGGCCACTACCTATTAAAAACATTATTCTGCAGGTTCTAGATAATGCAAAATGACAAGAAAAATCAATATAAAGCTCCCAAAGGAAGAGACAAAACTGTCACTATTTGTAAACGACGTTTTTCTAGAAAAGCAATGAACTACTAGAACACATGTGCTTGGGTAAGTTGGCTGGAATGAGAATCATTCAGAGAAAATGAAAGATGGATGGCTTACTGCAATGCTTCAATTTTTACAAGAACATAAAAGGCTTGGCCGGTCAGGCAGTAAGGAAGGCATGCCCTCCATTGCTGCTGGGACCTAAACTAGAAGCGGCGAAGCCTTTAACATGTAACCCACAATTTTATGGGGCTTTTTTTAGAGTCCAAGCAACTCAAATTGGACATCCGAATCGCCTTGAACCAGACAAAGAACCCATACTCTAAAGTGATTAAACTGCTGTGAATTTTCAAGACAACAAATTCTTGAAAGTTCTCCAACATCGGCCCCTGCTGGGTAGCCTTGTGGCCTTGCTCTGATGTTACGCTGGCCTTGGCGGGAGGGGACAACAGGAATGAAAATACCCGTGAGCACAAACCGCTGTGGCGATAGCCTCGGCACCCCGGGCCTTTTCTTTGTACCATCGACAGCACCGTGGCGATAACCGGGAAGCTCAGTGGCGTTTCAGTGGAGGGAGCCGTGACCTCTGCATAGAGGCCATGGCGTTATCGACAGTAAAGAGAAAAGTGTCTGGACCGAGGTGAGGGCTCTGCAACAGTTTCCCCTGAAAACTGAACTCAAAACGACACAACCACAACCGAGGGAAGAACTGGTGCCTAAGTAGGCCGGGGTGAGGAAGTGCCTGGTTTACCAGAGAATGTCCCAACGCACGCATCTGTGCCACAACCGTACAAACACCCCTGTGAATAACCAACATCATTTCTTGAAATCCTTCAAAAACTACACAGGAAAAAGCAAAACCGTTCTAAGTTTCTTTATTCTCTATCTGTTGAGTTTAAGAATTCCATTGCTCTTTGCACCCCCACTAAAAGGAGAGTAAGAAAAGCACTCAGTAAACACCCCACAATGACCCCCCCCAAGTAAACTCTAAAGGAGAATATGGCCCCCCCAGAACCAGGGCTGTTTGCACACTCAGCCCCTGAGCCAAACAAGCTGGTTCATCGGTCACTGTCCAATCTGGGCCTTTTCCCCGCCTCCCCCCCACACACAGCCAGTCACCAGAGGTCACAAATGCCGCTCAAGCCCCTTTTCAAACGAAAACCACGAACGCATCTAGGACGTCTTTCGGGAACGAAGAAGTTCTGCACTTTCTCCATCTCGAAATGCCATCGCTTCGGTGGTCCGAACGACACGCTAGCCACTGCCTCCTCGTGAGCATCACTGTCCCAACATTTCCCGATGGCCGCGTGAGCTGCCCACGGGCCATCAAAAGTCTCCAGTTCCTGTTCCTCCTCAGGGGGAAGGGGACGGCGACAAGCTCAACAGGGCACAACTAGAAAGGAAATGTTTACTTACACGTCAAGAGTCTCCACCACCATCATTAGCGATTGAAATCAGCCGCTACTGAGCCCCGAGAGGCGCTGTCTGCAGCTGGGACATGGCTGCTCCCCGGGTGAGGAAAGCGCAGGCGGGCTCCGGACAGAGCTGGAGGCAGGCGCTCAGAGGACTCCCAAGAGGATGCTCCGCCGAGGGCAGGCGCCCTTTCAGCGTCCGGGGTGCCCAGGCCTCCGGAGTTGCTGGGGCGGGCTGGGTGGCTGCCCTCCTGCCTTGAGGGCATCTCCTCTCAAGACCCCTGGGAAGAAGCGAGCCGTGAGGCCATGAGTGTCGGTCCTCACCCTACCAGCAGCCCCCGCACGTCTTGGTTGTGGGTTAAGAACAAGCAGAAGATGCCAGACCAAAGGTCCTATCTGAGGGCCCTTCAGATGCACTGCCCGCCTTAGGAAGCCCACCTCTGCCCGTGGCCGAGACCCCAAGCTCCAAGGGGAGCCACCTTCTGGTCTCGGGGTTCTAACTTTAAAATCATAACAGGAGCCCCAGGTGGGCCCGCAGTGCTGCCCAGCAGCCCTTCTCCAGGACCTCAGTCCGGTCCCCTCTCTTAGATGGTTACTTCTCTCCGCCAACCTCCTGCACCTCCCTCCCCATCCTCACACTCAGCTGATTCCTCCCACTTCACTGAGCAAATAGAAACACTCACAAAAGAACCCCACCAGCTTCCACCGCATCCACCCACCTTCCTGCGTCGGGGCCCACGTCCCGTCAGCCAGTCACTCGGGGGCCCCTGGCCGAGGCCTCCCGCCCCGTCCCATGACTTTGCTCCAGTGTGCTGAGCACCAGCAGGACACCAGATGCCGTGCTTACGTCTGTCTCCCCCGCACAGGGATGCTCCCACAAGGGCAGACATCCTCACTGTCCCCTGTTCCCCACACCCATCGTCCCCAGAACAATGTCGGGGACGCAGGAGACCCCGGCTACATGCTGCTTGTGTGAATGAACAAAGGATGCTAGGATTCCTTCCACGGAGCCCGCGTCCTCGAGCCTGCCTTCACCGGAGCTCCCAGGGAGCACCACCACCCCCAGCTCTCCCCGTGGAGCAAGGACCCACTCACGGTTCTCACAGTGGGGGCCCTCCCAGCCGTCGCGGCACGCGCAGAGGTAACTCCCGTTCCGCAGGACGCAGGTGCCCTCGTGCATGCACGGGCTGGGTTTGCAGAGGTTGACGGGCCGATTGGCTTCTACAAGAAAGAGTGTGCCCAGGAGGCCCGGCCTGGGTCAGCCCCAAAGACCCCCTCCTCTGAGGAAGCCCAGAACTGCCGTGAGGCCACTCGGGTAGCGCCTTCCATGCCTTAGCGCCGATGTGGGCCTTGAAGCCACAGGTCAGCACATGGATGGTGCTCCACGCTGCTTGGCTAGGTCAGAGACCCACCTCCACCCAGCTCTCCCACCTGCGTAGGGAGACCTTTTCTAGGATGTGTGAGGCTCCTAGCACCGCTTACTATTCTTATAACAGCCACATACTTTTACAAAGGCGGGAAGGATGGCCTGGTCAGGTGGCTCAGTGGTTAAGCGTCAACCCATGAACCAAGAGGTCATTGGTTCGATTCCTGGGCAGGACACATGCCCGGGTTGTGGGCTCTATCCCCAGTGTGGGGCATGTAGGAGGCAATCTCTCTATCCCTCTGCCTCCCTCTCTATCCCTCTAAAAATCAATCAATAAATTTTGAAAAGGCAGGAAGAATGTCACTGGCAAAAGGAAGCCTTTGAGTCAGGCTGGCCTGGCTGTGTTGGCCCCTCGCTCTGGCATTCACAACCAAGGTCAGTGCCAACCTCGGGGGATCTGTGGGTCGTCTAGCAACGTCTTTTGTTTAAGTGGTGCACGTACACTCTCAAGTTTGGGGTGGGGATCTGTGTTAAACTTTCTGTACCCTGAGCATCGAGAGGATGGTGTGCCTACCACGGGACTTAGCACGGACTTAGCACAGAACCCGGCACGTGGGACGCGCCCAGGGACCGGGGGAGCCGCGATCCTTGGAAGATGCACCTGGCGGTTCAGGCTGAGGGGCCACCCCTTGGAGGCAGCGCTGAACGGCGCCGATGCGCCCACTCACCTTCACAGAGCCACTCGATGAGCGCGTCCCGGTGGAACCTCAGGTCCGTGTAGGCCGCCACGTGGATCAGGGCGTCCCGGGGGCCCGCGAGCCTCCGCAGCGCCTCGCTCAGGACGGGCCCCACGGCCACCACCAAGACAGAGACGCCATTGTCCCTCAGCTTCTGGGCGGGGACGGCCGCGTCCTCCGCCCCTCGGCCCCCGGTGAGCACCACCACAGCCTTGGGGACGCCAGGCCGGGCGCCCCTCTGGACAGTCATCACCCTGTCGTAGATGTGCAGCAAGGCGGTGCCTGCCGAGCCCGCCCCGCCCAGGTAGGGGGCCTGGCTGGTGGCCCGCAGCACGGCGGGGCGGGCGACGTGGGTGTCCAGCCCAAAGGCTGTCTGGACCCGGCTGCCGTACACCACCAGGCCGATCTGTGTCACGTCGGCGTCCACGTCGAACTGGAGGGCGCAGCTCCTCACGAAGCTCTGCATCCGGGCGAAATTCTCGGGCCCCACGGAGGCCGAGGCGTCCAGCAGGAAGACCAGGTCCAGCGACTGTGCCCGGCAGCCTGCGGAGGAAGCAGCGTGGGCCTCCGGGGGCAGGCTCTGCCAGGCGGAGCCCCTCCTCGGGCGGGACCTGGCCAGCTCGGGGGGGGGGGACAGCCAGTCCGCTGTCTGTCCACGGCAGGCACCGCCCCCCACCCTCTGCTAGAATAGCAGCAGCTCATAGGAGCGCCTGGCCAGGCCACATCCCTGGCAGCTCCGTGTGGCTGTGTCCAAGTTCTGTCTGATGGGATGTGGTTGGAAGTCACTGTGCAATTTCCAAGTGATACCCTCAGAAGGAAGCTGCTTGCCTTCCACTTCCCCTTCCCCCCTTCATGCTGAGAAACAGTGACCTTGGACCTGGAGGCAGAACCACAAGGTAGCCAAGCCACCTTGCTGGCTCAGGCTGCTCACCTCGGAATGGTTACGAGAGAAATAAACGTCTATCCTACGTAAGCCACTGCGCTCTGGGACCCTTTGTGACAGCAACTTCACTGCACCCTCACCCATCCCACCAGCGAGCACCCTCCATGAGCCACACACTATATACAAGGTTCTGATTGTACCGGTGGGTAAAATGGGCCGATGCCTGCTGTCGATGGGCTGACAGACTATAGGAAGACAGACGTGAATTCAGTATAGAATTACAAGTTATATGGGCAGCCATGAGGGGAAAAGCAGGAGCAACATTAACAAGTTGGGAGAAGCGGCCTGGTCTTCTCTGAGGAGTTAGCTAAGAACTTTAGGGGTGTGGGGGTATTTCTAAGGTGCTCCCCGCCCCATGCAGGAGCTGCAAATAAGCCCACAGGGACCGAACCACAGCGAGCTCTCGGGAACCAGCAGGCGTTTGGGTTTCATTCCAAATGCAGAGGGAAACCCCTGGAAACGTTTAAGTACAGTGTAAGAGGCGTTGATGTACTGGGTTTGAAAAACCACTGTAACTCAAGGAAGGTCTTAGAAACCCAGGTCACAGCCAAGAGGAGCACAGGAAGACGATGACTGAGTGTAACTGGGCAGAATCCTTGGGACAGGAAAAGAGCACTGGGTTAAAACTACGGAAATCTGAACCACATAGACTTTCATACGTAACACTGGTTCATGACCTGTGACCAATGCACCTCGTTAACACCTTACAGAAGGGACTCAGGGTGTGGAGTACGTGAGAACTCTACCACGGTCACAAATCTTCTGTAAATCTCAAACCATCTTTTAAAAACCCACTCTGGATGCCGTGGGGAGACTAGACTGGAGGGCACAGTGGGAGTGGGCGGCCAACCCTGTCCCTCCCCCTTGCAAGAAGGAAGGCTCAGCTCTGGTGAGTGACATCTGGGGCTGAGAACTGAATATGCAGCTTCCCACGTCCCACCCCTGGGGAGCAATTGGGGCGGGGAGGGGTGGGGCACCAAGGATGTGTTTCAGCTACTGCACCTCCCCACGGGTCAAGGTCCTGCCCTCCGATGGGAATGTCTACTCCACGGGGGCAGTGTTCTCCAGAGCAGTGGTTACCAACCTTACGGACCTCATGGACCACCGGTTGGCGACCACTGCTCCAGAGCACACCCAATGGTTGGTCACAAAATCAACAGGAAATACTAGAACATATCAGGTAGCTAGGACAAGCGTCCCATGAAATGCCTCTTCTAGTTGTGCATGCGTGCGTATGTGCGTGCTTGTATGTAGTGGGAGGTACTGTGGGCTCCCAACAAAGAAGCTGGATAGCTGCCCTGCATCTCAAGAGATTCGGAGCTCCACGTTAACTATAACAAATGAATATTAATAAATAGCAACACCCACGATGTTCTGCGTGCCTACCCTGTGCACATTGCTTGTCTTACTGAAACCTCACAAAAGCCCCCCAGGAGGTGCTATTATTGGTCCCATGTTATTGAAAGCGGTTCCAGCCCCTAGACACAGGCCTTGGTTCAGTGGGAGCAACATAAGGAAGGGCCGCCACTGGCCACTGGCCCTGGGTCCGGCCGAGGCTGCTCCGGGCACAGGCCCCTGGGTCTCACCTGGCCGCGGCCGGCTGCACAGCTTGCCCTGCAGCTCCGGGATTTGGTGGAACAGGTCCTGCGAGTCGGCGTAGACCATGACGTGCTCTGGGCTGCCCGTGATCTCCTCCAGCTCTGCCCGCACGGCCTCGCTGCCCAGGCCCAGCAGGAGCAGCTGGCGGGCCCTCGCGTGGCGCGCTGGGCCGGCCACCTCGTCCTCGGAGCGTGACTCCGTGAGCAGCACCAGCACTCTGCGTGGCCGGTCCAGGCCGGTCCTGGCGCTCCCAAAGCCGCGCTCCGCCGCCTGCTGCAGGGCACTGCCCGTCAGGGTGGCGCCTCCGCCGAAGGGGATGGCATCGAGGCTCCGGACCAGGTCGGGCACGTCCAGGTACTCGCCCACGGGCACGGCCACCTCCAGCTCCCCGCTGTACCGGGCCACACCCACGCGGGCCCGGGAGTCCTCGTTCAGTGACGCCTGGGCAAACCGCTTCACAAAGGCCTTGGCCTGCAGGAAGCCCTCCGGCGTGGTGCCCGCCGAGCTGGCCAGCAGGAAGAGGACGTCGATTCTGCACGCCAGGCTCAGTGTCGGGGCTGCCGACATCACAGCAGCTGTCATGCCATGGCCACCTGGGGCATGCAGGTCACCGTCCCACCCGAGATGCCCAAGCACCACACCAGACAGCAGAAACCTCTCTCCCGGGGGTGGGGGGGAGGGAGGGGGAGACAGGGTGGAGAAACTGAGGCTGCAGGGGCTGTGTCCACTGCACATCACAGAGCTCTCCCTTCTGGCTCTCGCTAAGGGTCTCCACCCAACCACTGCTTAAAATTTAATACATAGACCAACCGGAGTGGCTCAGTGGTTGAGCATCAACCCATGAACCAGGAGGTCACGGTTCAATTCCCAGTCAGGGCACGTGACCAGGTTGTGGGCTCGATCCCCAGTAGGAGGCGTGCAGGAGGCAGCCGATCAATGATTTTCATCATTGATGTTTCTCTCTCCCTCTCCCTCCCTCTCTCAAATCAATAAAAATATATATTTTAAAAAATGGACATGCAACCTATTTTATACGCCCCCACCTCCCATTACAGTTAGCGCCTCGGTGTCCTGTTTGAGGAATCCTGCAGCTACGTTCCTTCCTCTGAAAACAGGCGGTTCGCGGCGTGGCCTCTGACACTCGGATCTGTGGTCCTTCTGGAACTGACTTTCGTGGGGCTTGTGAGGTGGAGGGTCTTCCATGTAAATCTCCAACTGACCCAGCACGACATTTTTATAAAAGTCATTAAAGAAGCCCCTACTGAGTGCTCAGCACTTAACGTACAGGGTGGGGCAAAAGTAGGTTTACAGCAGTGAGTACACAAAACACAGAGTTCATTCTTATAGGATGATGTACTGATGATTGTATTACTTTTCCACACGAACAACTATAAACCTACTTTTGCTCCATCCTGTACATAATCTGATTCCAAGCTCCCAACAACCCTAGGAGGTGCCGCCGATTAGTCTCTACTTCATACCTTTAAAACCAAAGAGGAAAACCACACACACACACACAAGGAGGGTTGAAGCTCCTCTTCCTACAGAAGAGGCTCTGCCCAGCACCAGGTCCGAGCTGGGCTGGCTCCAGCCTGCAGCTGGGCTCAGCGACGCTCAGATGCCAAGCAGTGACCATTCGGAAACTAACAAGCCAGGAGCCACGGTCCCACCCAGAGCTTCCTTCGTGGAGACTCAGAGCCGAATCCCCTGAGACACCACAGCACAGGGCCCTTGGTAAGTGGGTGGCTCTAAACTCAAGGGCCAGTTTCCTCCTAGGAGCTCCAGGGTGAGGGGTGAGCCAGGGGACCGTGGACGCCAGCCCTCCCCAACGGTCCATGTTGAAGGTCCCGTGCAAACGTACCACAGTTAGCCTCCTCTCTGAAGGACGGCGGGCACAGGCAGTGGTACCTGTCCAGTCCTTCTGGAACACACGTGCCTCCATTCCGGCAAGGCTGCGAGTCACAGGGGCCTGTCAGAGAGATGCCCATGAACGGCCTAGCACCTCGGCCCACAGGCACTAGTCCCGCAGGCCACCCTGCCCCACCTCCCTGGAAACCACTAGGAAACTAGCTGCAACACCTACAGCAAAGAGGGGGAAAAAAGCGGGGTGTGCAGAGGAGGGGCTGGGTGTGGGTGGTAAAGGACACTTGATGGTGAGCTTGGTGAGGCCCTGTGTGAGTTACATGCTCACATGGGGTCATGACAATGGGACCCCCCACCCCCATTCATATGCAGAAGTCCCAACCCTCAATACCTTTGCATGTGACTGTATTTGGAGACAGGCCTTTTAAAGAGGAAATTAAGGCTAAATGAGGTCATAGGGTGGGTCCTAGTCCAATGCAAATGGTGTCCTTAGAGGAAGAGACACTAGGGCCGTGGTCGGCAAACCGCGGGTTGCGAGCCACATGTGGCTCTTTGGCCCCTTGAGTGTGGCCACGAAGTTTCAATCGCACTGTACGTATGCGCCCACATGTGATACTTTGTGGAAGAGCCACACTCAAAGGGCCGCAGTTTGCGGACCACTGACCTAGGGCCCTGCATGGAGCCAAGGCCGTGTGAAGCCACAGTGAGAAAATGACCATCTGCAAGCCCAGCAGAGAGGGCGGAGAAGAAACCGAACTGGCTGACACCTTGACCTTGGACTCGCAGCCTCCAGGACTGTGAGAAAATACATTTCTGTTGTTTAAGCCGCAGAGAACTAACACAACAGGCCATTACAACCCTCAGCTGCGAGGGGTCTGGGGGAGCTCCAGGGGCCACGGTGATGAACTGGTGCCAGACCTGAGCTTGATGGGGGCGAAGGTCTCAGTCCCATGAAGCCAGCAGCATGGGTGTCTCTAGATGGGGAACGCTGCAGGGGGGAAGGTGCTGTTTCTGACGTTCAACCGGGGTTGTTAGCAGCCTCTGCAGGCTGCACAGCCACAGTGAGCCTTCGGACCCTGGAGTTACGGAAAGTGCCTCCTCCACTCACTCAGGCACCTTCCTAGCCCCTCCAAGCTCCAGAATCCTCATCTAAGAAGGTGACGCCGGAACTGGCCCCACAGTGTTCTTGCGAGGATTGCATGAACTCATCCACGGGAAGTCTTAGGACAGAGCCCGACACGAAGCAAACAGCCCACAACAGGTAAGACACCAGCCTCGTCCCAGGGCCCAGGCCGAGCAGGAGAATCCAAAGGGCGGGCTGTACCTGGGCAGGTGGTCCTGTAGCAGGTGGCGGGGTGGGTTAAGAACACTTTCTTCCAGCTGCAATCCAAGGACACAGACAGTAGAGATCAAAGGGTTAACAGGAGGACAGACATCGGGAAAGTTACTTAAAACACAAAGCTGCCCTAGCTGGCTTGGCTCAGTAGATTGAGCATCAGCCTGCGGACTGAAGGGTCCCGGGTTCGATTCCCATCAAGGGCACATGCCCGGGTTGCAGGCTCCAACAGGGGGTGTGCAAGAGGCAGCCAATCAACGATTCTCTCTCATCATGAATGTTTCTATCTCTCTCTCCCTGTCTCCCTCTCTGAAATCAATAAAAAATATATTAAAAACAAACAAACCATGAAGCTGGTATAAAATTCCAATGCAGACACTAGTCAAGAGAGACTTCCTTGTTTTCTTTCTACTCCACTTCTACATGCACACAGAGTAGGGGATGGTTCAAACTACCCAGAGACAATTAAAAAAAAGGTAATGTACATTGGCTATCATGTCAGAAGTTAGAGATATCTGTGTTCAAAACTCTGAGCAGTGAGAACAGCTTTCTATTACAAGCTCCTTTCTGGGACTGGCTGGCTGTGTGACCCCAGGCAAGTTACTTTCCTTCTCTGGTCTTCAGTTCCTTCTTCTAGATCAGTGGTTCTCAACCTGTGGGTCGCGACCCCTTTGGGGGTCAAACGACCCTTTCACAGGGGTCGCCTAAGACCATCCTGCATATCAGATATTTACATTACGATTCACAACAGTAGCAACATCACAGTTATGAAGTAGCAACGAAAATAATTTTATGGTTGGGTCACAACATGAGGAACTGTATTTAAAGGGCCAGAAGGTTGAGAACCACTGCTCTAGATAGTAACTCTATAGTTTTCAACTGTGACCCTTGGAGCCTCGATGGAGAGAGGAGGAGGCTGAGTGGCCCAGGGCTGTGCTGGCGGTGGTGTGGACAGTGCTGAAGGCCAGGCCAGGGGCTGTGAGGGACAGGCCGGGCAGCAAGTGCTCTAGAGCAGCGGTCGCCAACCAGCGGTCTGCAGGCCACTGGGGGTCCGTGAGGTCCACAAGGTTGGTGACCACTGCTCTAGAATGCCTGAGCTCTGGTCCTGAGGATCCCAGCATCCCTCTGGGCCACCACACAAACCATCTAGGACCTAAGCCTTTTGCCTCACTCAGGCCCCCATAAACATGGAGACTGGTGCTCAGAGGAACCAAGTCACCAGGTCACCATCCCAGGTGCAGAGCACGGCCCTGAAGGCCAGCTTATGGCTCCCTTACCAGCCTCTAGAGTGGCCGTGACCCTGCCACCCTCGCTCACCCTGGGCACCCAGGTGGTGCGTCCATGACCCTCCCTACACCCCGATGCTCTGTCCCGGCTCCCCCCAGCCCTGCACTCCTCCAAACCCTGCAACTTCCGAGCACTTGGCCTTGGGGACCTCCACCCACACCCAGGTCGTGCCCTTGAGCCCGGGCCCCAGACCACAGGACAAACCTGAAGAAGGGGCAGGGGGCAGCCAGCACACCATCGGTCCCCCGCGATCCTCTCCAGCATAGGCCGCTGCCAACCAGCTCCCTGACCGTCTCCAGCGTCTTGTGCTCACAGGGGTGAGGCTGGACCCTGCAGTCTGTGTCCACAGCACACCCAATGGAGAAGACAGGGTTACGCCTCCTCCCGCACTGAGGTCCCCCGCGCTCAGCCCCGCTGCCACCTTCTGCTTCTCGGGGCAGAGCACACGGGGGAGGGGCTCCGCTCTGCCCCTTGCTGGGCGCCAGTCTCTGGGCACCTCCTCTGCACAGGCCCTGCCCTGCACAGCTTCCACATCCCGTGAACACATGCATGTTTCCTATAACACGCTTCACTCTAGCTCCTGGGGGACCGACGAAGGCAACTATGCATGCAGACACCTGGCCCCGGGCTGCAGAGGCCATTGGCTTACCACAGTGGGGGCGCCGACTTGGCTCCTCCCCCGAAGCAGGGGACAGGTACAGGGGCCCCCCCATGCTCCCAAGCCCTGGTCCCCTTTACCCCATGGAGACAAGCTCCAGGTTCTAGCTGAGAATCCCACATGGAGACAGGACACAGCAGAGAGCCCTGGGACCGAGGCCGTGGGACCCCATTCCTCTCACCCTCTCTCCTTGGGGAGGCCCCTGAGTGCTTACCTCATGCTAGGGGAACCCTCCCCACCCCACACCCCACTTGCATCCCACAGATACCCCGCTTGCACATGGGCCAGCCTGGAAGGCCATACCTGAAGAGGCGAAGGTACAGAAGTCGGAGCTGCTGAGGGCGCTGAACAGGCCGTTGGTGGCGTCCTCCACCTGCTCGGCCATCAGCACGTGCTGCTCCCTGGGCTCGCTGGCCAGCGTGTGCAGCTCCTCCCACCTGGGCCCAGCCCCCAGCAGAGGTTACATGCCTTGTCACTCCCAACCCACTCTCCGCCTGCCCTCCCAGCTTCTACCCCATGGGCAACACCCCACCCCACTGCTACGGAAGCCACTTCGTTGCAACCTCATCCCTCCAGGATGCAGGAAACATCCAGAAGTGAACCTCAGAATGACCTCGAGGACACTCGGCCATGGGTCATAATGTATGCGTGCTACTGTCCCTGGACCTCCACGGGCCGGGGAGAGCCTCACACTCAGTCGCCTCCTATGTCAGACATGGTCCTGACAGATTTCACGGTCTGGTTCGGTGACTGTAGCTGATGAGAAAAATAGAACCAGAAAGAAAGGAAGGAGACTGGTTCTAGGCAAGAAAAGAACAAACAAGGACAGCTGGCAATAGAAAAAAATACAGCAGTGCCCTGACTGATGTGGCCCAGTGGTCGGGCATCAACCCAGGAGCCAAGAGATCAAAAGTTTGCTTCCTGGTCAGGGCACATGCCCGGGTTGTGGGCTCCATCCCCAGTGTGGGGGGTGCAGGAGGCAGCCGATGGATGATTCTCTCTCAACACTGATCTTTCTCTTTCTCTCAAACGGGGGACCCTTCAGTCCGCAGGCCGACGCTCTATCCACTGAGCCAAACCCGATAAAAACTAATAAAGACGTATTAAAAAAGACAGAAAAAAAATACAGAAGAACTATAACCAGTGAACGGAAGGACTCCAAGGCCAGCACTGGGAGCCCATCTAGAAGGGAGCCCCCACAGACAGCCAGAGGGCACCATTCAGGGCCCCCGACAAAAACAATGAGCAGCACAAGGACGTCGGGGCGTGAAGAAAAGGCTAAGAAGACAGGGCAGTCGGCAACGCATTTAGAATCCTGCCCACCAACGCAGGCCAAGGTTTGGCAACACGGCAACAATTTCATTGATTTCTAAAACTCACTTACGGCCCCAACCGGTTTGGCTCAGTGGATAGAATGTCAGCCTGCAGACTCAAGGGTCCCAGGTTGGATTCCGGTCAAGGGCATGCACTTTGGTTACGGGCACATCCCCAGTGGGGAGTGTGCAGGAGGCAGCTGATCGATGTTTCTCTCTCATCGATCTTTCTAACTCTCTATCCCTCTCCCTTCCTCTCTGTAAAAAAATCAATAAAATATATTAAAAAAAAACTTTTAAAATTCACTGATGTACAATTCCCTATTCTCTCCTGAAGCCATAGAAACTGGACATTTCTCCCAGTGCCCAGGGCAGGGCCTGGCACACACAGGGGGGCTTCTCAGCTCTGGGCTCACATTCACGCTCAGGGGGGCAGCTCTGCCTGACCCCACCCAGCCACGGACTTTCTTAAAAGCTCCCTGCAAAACAGACGCTCAGCCAGAGATGAGAGCCATCAGAGAGGGGGCTCCATAAATACTAAAAGATGTGAGCCAGCCACAGCTGGCAGCCACAGCTCCAGCTCCTGAGAGCGCCAGGCTGAGGGCAGCAGAGACGCTGGGGGGAGGAGGGGGACGGGGCATTCAAGTCCCTGACCCCTCCTGCTCACACCAAGAGACCCCTGACCCACCAGTGCAGTCAGGTGACTTTCCATTTCTGCCCAAATCAATTCGAGTCGGTTTCAGGCACTTAAAACCAAATGTTTAGACGAAAGGAAAGACAATGCAGAGGCTCAGACTTGCAGACTCAGAGCTCCCTGTGCTCCGGCAACAACAAGACAAGGGAAGAAAAGACAGATCCCGCCTGAACCAGCACCGTGTTTCCACCGCCCCTTCTCCCGAGGCTGTGAGCTCTCCCAGCCGCACCGCGGTCTCCCCCGCCACCCCACCCCTGCCCCACAGGGCTGACCCAGGGGTCCGAGTCTCTTACCTGGGGAAGCGCACGCCCACGGCAAACACAGTGACCCCTCTCTCCTGCAGCTGCTTGGCCGGCAGTGCCACCTGTCCTTGGGACCTGCCATCCGTGATGATGATGAGCACCTGGGGCACAGAGGCATTTCGGCCCCCGGGGAACCCTCTGCGCAGAAAGTATTTCAGAGCGAGGCCTGTCTCGGTGCGCCCTCCTCTGAGCTCACCCGGGAGGAAAACACAAAATATGAATCAGTGACCCAGACAGGTGACGTTGGCAGACAACGGCTCCTCCGTTAGCAGTGACAGCCACATTCCCCCGGCAGGAGCTCAGAGTGACGATTCCTACCACGAGAGATGCACTTGCTCACCCTCTAAACCACAATAATGAACAGACATGAACTTTTCCTGGGTCTGTAAGATGCACCCCGGACAGCTCTGTGGTTTAGGTAATAATGTCACTCTCTGGGTCTGCCCCACGGATGGCTGTGGGCTGACAACTCCCATCATCTGTCTACCACCCACCTCCCATCGCCCTACCCCTGCTTCATCCCCTTCTTGTTATGGCTCAACATCTCCCTGGGGTCCTTGCCATGACCGGACCTTCCTGGCCCACTGCCAAGTTCAGGGTCAGGTGGTAGAGGCTGCAGTTTGCTTCTTGATCAGGGCAGGTTACAATGGTCCCTGCTCATTGGGACACTAAGAGTCTGTAACCTTACAGGCCAGTTACAGGCACTGCTGACGAGCTTGGAATCCCAGTGCGGAACCTCTACTAAACCTCGCAAAAGGAGGCTCGTCCCAGCCCTCAGAGGGAGGCCTGCTGGCTCTCTGTGTCAACCGGGCAGAAAATAATGACTCACTCAATGGAATTTCAGGCCAATCACAGGAAACTGCGAGTGGTGTTACTGGGAGGTGAATGAAATGACTGCGTGAGCGTGCCCAGCCGGCCAGAGTTCTGGACATTCAGAGCCAATTGCCGGACATGGTTTATCTGACTGTATGTTATCACTGGGCACAGTATTGAAAGGCTCGGCTGTGATGTTTTTTAAGCTTCTTACTGCCATGTGTCAGGGTGGTTTCTTAGCCACCTCAACACACACCTTCAGGGAATCGCCTTGGTCTAGAAGGCAAGTGTTCTGGGTTTTAGGTAAAGCTCTTCCCGTCAGGCCAGCCTTGAAAATGTCACTGTAGAAAAAGGGGGAAGAGCCCTAGCTGGTTTGGCCCAGGGGAGAGAGCGTCAGCCTGCAGACTGAAGGGTCCTGGGTTCGCTTCCGGTCAAGGACACATACCTGGTTGCGGGCTCGATCCCCAGTAGGGGGTGTGCGGGAAGCGGCCGATCAACGATCCTCATCATTGATGTTTCTCTCTCTCTCTCCCTCTCCCTTCCTCTCTGAAATAAAAAAATATTTTAAAAAATGAAAGAAAAAGGGGGAAGAGCCCTGGGAGGTCATCCTTCCCATTCAGCCAACATTCCTCTGTTCTGATGAATCCTAGTGTCTTCACGCTTAACGTCCTCCGTGACCCTGCAACTGTGGCCCAAAAGTCCGTTCCCGCCCCTTGCCCTGTTTCTCATCGTTATCCCAGGACGCACACTGCTAACCGCCATCATCCCCAAAACAGAAGCAGACCGTGTGCAGACACACAAAGAGGCTTCCTTCTCCACCTCCTGTCCTCACGGGGCGTGTTCCTAACGCAGCTCTGTATCTCTTACATCATGAAGAACACTCTCCCGCCCTTAGCAATGACTTTCACCACAGCTGAGAAGAGAATCCCAACTATTTAGGGGGTTGGGGTGGGAGGAGGGAGAGGTGGGAATGGGCAGCTGGGTGGGGCCTATTGGACGGTGTGACTCTGGTCCTGGCCAAGTCACCTACTCCTTCTCAACCTCAGCATCCTCCCTCCTAAAGTAAAGAATTGGAATAGATACTATGTGATCTCTAAAAGTGACGTTTTGAACCAATTTGCTTCATTTTTTAGAAGAGAACAGGGCCAAATCATTTGAGTTAGTCACCCAATTTTTGACTTTCAGTCCTAAAGTTAATCCAACAAGCTATTTTTCCCCCCTGCAAATGTTAGTGTACTTATAATGGATATAAAGTTTTTATAATAATATTATATCAATAATTAATAAACCGTAAAATTCACCCTTTTAACGATACAATTCAGTAGTTTTTAGTACATTCACAGACTTATTCAACCATTACTATTATCTAAATCAAAACATTTTTATTACCCCACACAGCTCTGTACCCGTTAGCAGTCACTTCCCATGCCCTCTCCCTATACTAGTAGCTCCTGGCAATGACTGATCTTTTCTGTTGCCAGAGATTTGCCAATTTCAGATATTTCACAAAAATGAAATTATGCAATATGTAACTTTGTGTGTCTGGTCCTTTCGCTTGGCATAATGTTCTCAAAGTTCATCCATGTGGTAGCATGAATCACGTCATCCCGTTTTATGGCTGAATAATATTCCACTGTATGAATATGCCACATTTTGTTTATCCATTGCACTTTTGTGTTATTTCCATTTTTTGCCCATTATAAACAATGCTACTATGGAACATAGGGTATACAGTTCTGTGTGGGCATATGTTTTCAATTCTCTTGAAGTGAAGTTGCAGGGTCATATGGTAACTCTATATTTAACATTTTGAGAAACTGCCAAACTGTTTTTCAATGCAGCTGCACTCTTTTATAATTCCACCAACCATGCACGAGGACTCCACATCCCTGTCAACACCCGTCACTGTCTGTCTTTTATTTTAGCCTTCCTAGTGGGTATGAAGTGATATTTCATTATGGTTTTGATTTGCATTTCCTCAATGACTAATGGTGTTGAATATCTTTTCATGTCCTCACTGGCCATTTATATATCTTCTCTGGATTTCTTTTGGGATGATGAAAATGTTCTAAAATTAGATTATGGCAATCTATATATATAAAAGCCTAAACGACCGTTACGACTGGTTGACCGGACAACTGGTCGACGGGTCACTATGACGTGCACTGACCACCGAGGGCAGACGCTCAACGCAGGAGCTGTCCCCTGGTGGTCAGTGCACTCCCACAGCCAACCTCCTGCGCTGGCCAACCTCCCGCGATCCCTCCCCCTGGCCGGCTCCGATTGGCTCCAGGCCTCTAGTAGTTACGTAACTCTGAAAATACACTCAGAACCACTGACTTGTCCACATTAAATGCGTGAACTTTATAATAAATGCTGTTTTTAAAAAGTCAGTGTGTACAATAGTCCTGGGGTAGAGGTAGTAGGGAGAAAACTTCTAAAAGTGCAGTGCTAAACATCACTTCCCAGAGAGCAGTTCAGTAGGTCTGGGAGGGGGTCGAGGCACCTGCATTTTAACAGACTTCCCTCAGCAATACTGACCCAGGTAGCTCTATGAGCTCACTATGAAAAGTGCTGCTCTGGGTGTCTGGGCCCAAGTCATGGGGGTGAGGCTATGACTTTTTTTTTTTATAGGAAACCATTCTTGGGGGCCTCAAGGGTTGAGGGTTCCAAGGGAACAAGGAAAGGCCAGTGTAATTTTTACGAATAGATATCAAGGTGCTCTTCCCTTTGTACTGTCTTGTATTTGACTTGCCCCTCATTTGTGCAGGGCGCTCATGGACAGAGGAAAGGGCTGGGACAAACGGCCTGAGACGAAGTCCCTGGGGGTCCCGGGGGCAGATCCTGCTGTGCCCAGTGCGGGGATTTGGGCTGTGGAGAGCACTGTGCACCTCCAGGAGCCTGTGCCCGGATAAAGGGCCTCAGGGCCCAGGGCCTCTGCACCTGGAGGCGACATCTAGAAACGGGAGCACAGACTTCAGTGGATGCTAGTGCGAGGGGCAGCAGAGATCAGAGTGACCAGCAGCAAGTGAAAGACAGTCTTCCATGAGGGCTTATAAATTATGTATGTGTGTGTGTGTGTGTGTGTGTGTGTGTGTGTACCTAGTATGTGTGTGTATAACACATTCCAATGCAGAGATGTATATGTTTACGTGCATACGCAACATACACATAAAAATATTTACACAAGAACTGTATGTCTATACATGTGTGCCTATGTACACATCATATACACACACATCAGCTGACCTGTAAGTAAAGTTATGGCCCCACTACATCCATCTGTTTATAGGGTGTGCGTGTGTCTGAGCACACGAACAGCTACTCATCGTTTCAAAGCACTCTTGACAGCAGAGGAGCACTTACTCTTTAGACCAGTGGTTCTCAACCTTCTGGCCCTTTAAATACAGTTCCTCATGTTGTGACCCAACCATAACATTATTTTTGTTGCTACTTCATAACTGTCATGTTGCTACTGTTATGAATCGTCATGTAAATATCTGATCTGCAGGATGGTCTTAGGCGACCCCTGTGAAAGGTCGTTCGACCGCCAAAGGGGTCGCGACCCACAGGTTGAGAACCGCTGCTTTAGACAAACCACAGAATGAGGCTTTGAGAAGTGTGTGAGCTCTCCGAGCTGTAGTGGTCACCAAAGACAGGCTGGGAGAAAGAGCCAGTGTTCTAACACTTGCACTTAATGCTGGTCTTGACCTTCACCGGCCCTTTCTCCCAGGTAACTGACAACTGCACATAAGAGCAGCCAATACTTTTTTTGAACTTGCATCTAAGTTCCCACCCGGGGCATCATCTGGTAACGGGGGCAGCCTTGAGGGGGCATTCTCATTACCCAGAAAGCACAGCTGGGATTCTGGACACCCCAGCCCTCTCTGGGAGGCCAAGGGCAGGGCCGAACCCTTCAAGAGTGATTTTCAGAGCAGCCGGCCGCAGCCTCGCCAGGGCAGAATCTGAGCGTACATACTTGAAAACCATCCTCTTGAGTTTTGTCTTCACTTCCTGTTGGGTTGACAAGGAGTCCAAGGGGAATTCCAGCCAAGGAGCGGAACTGAACTGGACCGCTCCCACCCTGACCTGCAGGAGGAGACAGAGGGCCCAGGGGTTGAGAGCGGGGTCAAGTCACACACATTCCTAAGAGGGAAGACAGGATGAGAGAGGTTAACCACCCTGCCTCCCGCCCACTCAACAAATCCCAGAGCCAGAGCTTTCTCTGGTCTCCCCAAGAAAAGGTCCCCAAGACCAGGAGAAGAATCTGGAAGGAAACAGTCCACTCTGCCTGTGTTCTGCACTGACAACCACCACTCCACTTCACTTTTCTCGACCCCCATTCTGGCATTTCGCTCGGCTGAGCGGAGAACATCTTCGTTAGGGCAGGGTCCTTGCTCACATTTACCGAATGCCTGCCAGGAGCAACCTCATGATACTTCATTTAATCCGCAGAAGCCCGATTCCTACCCACGTCACTGTTGGAGAAACTGAAGTGTAGAGAGGACACAGATCTGGCCCAGGGAGAGAGAGAAAGGGACCAGGCCTTTGAACTTGGTGCTTATGATCTTCACGAGCCTCAGCTCTATGGCTCGCCTTCTCAGCCGCCAGCACAGGCCTTCAGCAAAATGCTCGCTGACCCGACCAGGGGTGTCGCAGCCGCTAGCCACAGCCACCATCCCTGCTGGCTCATCACTGACCACAGCCACCACACGCCCATCCTTAGTAGCAGAGGGGGTCAGCCTTCCAAGCCTGACTCTGCCCGCGAGGGGGAGGCCAGCAATCCTGGAGCTGAAGGTCCCCTGCCTGGAGGGAGGAGAGCCGCTGGTGAGTCCAGATGTTGCATCCTAAGTGAGGAGGTCACATGAGGAAGCCCAGTGCCTTGCAGGACTGGGGAAGGAGAACCGAGTAACGTCATTCTCTGGACCCTTAAAACACTAGTGTGTCTCAAGCAGAAAGGGATATAAACATTCAGGTTTCCTCTCAAGGGTCCAATCCCTGATCCTAATTCCTGGCTCTCCAAAACCCCTGGAGAAACCGTTCTCAGTTACCCGTGTTATAAGGAACCCTAATTCCGGCCACGCTTGCAAATGAGCCAAGTGATTCATATTTAAGCAAGGATGCCGCCTTTTGCTCGCACCTTCAATTCCTTCATGGCTGATGCCTTTAACAAGCCTGGTGCCTGGGAGATGATCAAAGCCCTCGCCACACCAGAGGGGCTCACCTGCCCCCAGAGAGCACAGCCCATCCGACTTGCCTTCCACAAGAAGTTCTGAGGAAGAGCCACCAGCATCTTAAGTGGGAAGAAGTCTTGGGTGGGCATGTGGGGGGAATGGACACTGGAAAGCAGAGCAGGAGAGAAGCTCACAGAAGAGTTTTTGAGACGCGACACTTTTGAAGTCTCCTTGAATTTGGCAGGTGATAAAGGAAGGGGCATCTCTAACCAGTGGGGGAAACATGGTCTTGTTACTAAGGGATTTGGGGACAACTGGATAAACCTGCCAAAGAATAGAGGATAAGCTGCAAGTGGATTCAATATTTAAATGTGAAAAATATAACCGTAAACGTTCTAGAAGAGAACCTGGGAGCGTTCCTTTAAAACCTCCAAGCAGAAAAGACCTTACTACGACTAAAAATCATAAAGGAAAGACTGATGAATCTGGGGACAGGAAGAAAACTTCGGCAGGGCAACACATACGATTCAACCAAAAACATGAAGACAAAACGGAAACATTATTTGCAACTCATATCTGAAAGCAAGGGTTAATTTCCCCAATATATATAGAGTGTCTACGAATGGATATGTAAAAGACTAACAATCCAACAGGAAAAAAATGAGCAAAGGATATGAACAGAGATCACAGAACCGGAAAAACAAATGGCTCTTTAGTATACAAACATAAGATTTGAGGGCACCACACTCAGATGTAGCAAAAAGCCAGATACAATGTTTGCAGGGGGGAACCAGCATTCTCAAGCTCTAAGCTAAGAACATAAATCTTACAGCATCCATGGGAGCAATTTATCAATATTTATTGAAAATTACAGATACATAACGCTATTGGGAATTGATCCGACAGATATACATGTGTAAATGGCATATTTACAAGCTCACAGTATATCTGTCATTGCAACTGTCCATCAATAGGGGGTTGGTTAATTAAACTTTGGTAAATCCTTACACTGGAACATTAATCAGCTATAAAAGATAATATATACCTACATTAATGCCTATATTACCTAGACATGAAAAAATTTCTAAGACATGTGAAGAGAATTAGGCAAGGAACAGAACAGTGTATATCACCTGCTACTCAATGTATAAAAAGGGGGTGAAGGGCCCTAACCGGTTTGGCTCAGTGGATAGAGCATCAGCCTGCGGACTCAAGGGTCCCAGGTTCGATTCCGGTCAAGGGCATGTGCCTTGGTTGCGGACACATCCCCAGTGGGGAGTGTGCAGGAGGCAGCTGATCGATGTTTCTAACTCTCTATCCCTCTCCCTTCCTTCCTGTAAAAAATCAATAAAATATATTTAAAAAAAGGGGGGGGGTGTGGGGGGATAAGAACATATACACACGTTGCTTATGTTTGCATGGAGGGATTCTGTAGGGATGCTCAAGAAAGCAGGTAGGGGGACCGAGCAAATGGGAAGTGTGTGAGCAGATGGGAAAAGGAGGGACACTTTTCACTAGGCGTCTTTTTTATTAAAGCATCAGAATGAATTACTTGGTTTAAAAGAAAACCTCCCTGGAGACCAACAGCTGGGTGCGTTTACTTGAAATTAAACAGGAAGGATGCAACTTCAAAACAAGATACAAACAGCTTGAGTCAGCAGCCAAGGCATTTAATTTAATTGGTGGTTTGGGAGCAAAAAGAGTTGCCTTTTATCTTCCGTTTACTGTGTGCTCAGAAGCCAGGCCGCCCAGACTTCTCACCTGCCTGCTGGAATCATTATATTACAGCCAGGAAGTGAACTTCTCAGCTTGCGTTTTTTTCTTTTTTCTTCTTCAAACTTCTCAGCTTTTAAGTACTGAGAGGAAGACTTCAAACACCTTAAATCCACCTCAACAACAAGCATCCATAAAAGCCTTAATTATGGCGACTTGAAAATGTCTTCCTGAAAACTGAAGTTACTGAAAGTACAATCTCTTGTACAACGGAGATAACAAGAAGACAAAAAATGCAGCAGCGAGAACATAAAACCCGGAGCCACAAATCAGATGGAACCACCTGAAACCGCCCTGACGCAAAAAACCCTGCACTGGCATTGCAGCAAGTCGGCCGGAGCACGGGGAGCTCATGATGCTCACGCACGCACTGAGACAGACCCCGACTCCTCTGCGCACCAAATCTGGCTGCGAGGAAGTTTCTCCAGGGCCGAGCCCACACATAGCTCCCTGCACACCAGCTTCTGCCTCTTAAGACAACGGAGCCCCTCTGTACCCTCTTTCATTTAAAAACTAGAGGCCCGGTGCGTGAAATTAGTGCATGAGGGGGTCCCCTCAGCCCAGCCTGCACCCTCTCCAATCTGGGACCCCTCAGGGAATGTCCGACTGTCGGTTTAGGCCCATGGGATTGGGCCTCAACCGGCAGTCGGACATCCTTCTTACAATCCTGGATGACTGGCTCCCAGTTGCTGACCTACCTGCTGGCCAGGTCGCCCCCAACTGCCCCCCACTGCTAGCCAGGTCGCCCCCAACTACCCACCCCCTGCTGGCCTGGTCATCCCTCATGGCCCCCCCCACAGGCCTGGTCGCCCCACGCAGCCTGCTGTTCAGTCGTTTGGTTGTCCCTCACTAACCCCCCTGCCGGCCTGGTTGTAGGCAGCCATCTTGTGAGGGCATGAGGGTTAATTTGCATATTGCCTCTTTATTATATCGGATGAGAACCAGGTTCCCTCCTAATAGGAAATTTCCAGGCCTCTCACTGCTCCACTTCTTGTTGTGGGCACTGTCTGGTTTGCCAATGTCTAACCAAGAACGCCACGTTCTAGATGTGGCCTGGCAACACTGAGATGAAGTTTCCTGAACTCTGGGGCCCTGTGGGTTGGGACAGGTACTCCCAACACCACCAGCCATGACGTGTTTTGTTTCTCTTTGAGAATCCTGAATTCCATCAGTACCCCCCACTTCCACATACATACACACACAACCCACACACCCAGACACACACACACACACACTCAGACACACAATGCCATGTTGCCACTTCCGATATGACAGCAGGTGTGAAGGCTGAGCCTCATCACCTCATCCTACCCAATGAGTAGGGACAAATGACCTATGAAACAAGTCCCGAGCTGATAGTCAAGAGCCCAGTTCTTCCACATTGAGCTCTCTTCTAAGATTGCTGTGTGACCCTAGGCTGTCACTTAGACCCTCTAAGCCTGTTTCCTCATCTGTAAACATACACATGTCTCTAATAATCCATACAGTTCTTGGAGCCCTCTGCTGAGAGCTCTCGGCCACCCCCTTCAGGACATACAACATCAATGCCATGGTCAACAGTGTTGGGTCTTTATGGCTCTTCCTCCATGAATAACTAGTGGAATTCGATAGGGAATCCTTTCCTTTTAAAAGCAGAGCCCTGTGTGGAAGAGGGTGGAGATTGAGCAGACCCTTTTAGGGTCTGTGATGGGCTGACAGTACAGTTGTAACTTCCGGGCTGCTCTGCTATGGTGTCTTCAAATAGCTCTGAAGGCTGCCTGCGGTCCAGGGAATGTGCGCACTCTCCCAACATGACAGGCCATTCTGGAGAAAATCTGTCTCCATAAAAGGCCACTGTTGCTCCTAAATCCTAGGGATTTTTGTAGGATTAACCCAGGAATGTCAT